GTTCCGGTTTTGAATGTTAAGGGTGCTGGCGAAATTACAGGCACATGGGACTTGTCAACTTAAGTCTCAGGGTGACGGGCGCAGTGGCAGTGCCCCTCAGATCTTTGCAATTTACAGCTCTGAGTGGCACTGCAACTGTTATGGACAGGCGTGTAGCTTATCATCATGTGCACGACTTGTTCGTCCCGTCACTAGACAAAAAAATGCATTCTGGATTTTGTACTGAAATTAGTACCAAGTTACAACACCTAATGTCCATTTACATTAAACTTAAATACGTCTTAAACCAATGCCTAAATTGATAAAACACTCCTAACATAATGTATTAAGATTGTGTCTTTTACATTGCAAGCATTCGTTTATGAACATAAATGTATGCACACCTCAGTATTGACCACAGACCAATGCTTACAGAGCAACTAACCACAGTTTTGAGACTGTTAAGTTCAAACGAGTGTTTTGCGTGCGAAGTGGTAGGAATATAGAAAAAAAAATTAAATAGCGTTTGTAGCGAATCGCAGCAGTCGCTACAAATATTTTTTGTATATATTTTATAGCCTCTTTATGTTTTAGTTTTATATTTAAATTCTCAATTTAAATGTGATTGTTTTTGGCGTCTTTTCTTGACTATTGTTTGCTGTTTTGGATTGATAGCTGTACGTGTTTTGTAGTAAATTAATAAACTGTAAATACATTTGCTTGAGCCTTGCTCATTCTTGTTAACACTCCCTGAACCCATTGATACAGTCCGCTACGGCATTATTTAAAGAATTGTTTTCCATAGTCTAAGGCGCACACCAATGAAATGACGTCATTCAAAATTCAATGTGGCGAATAAATAGAGCCATTAACTTGTCTCTGATATAGTTAGCAACTCCGTATAATGGTTACATTCGCTTTGATCTCTTTTATTATTTACGCGGCTGAATTTTCGGCAGTAGTGGAGCATGGCATAATCTGTGGTTTTTCCTTTTCCATCCTCTAAGGTGATTTCAGAAGAAAGTCGGTTCACAAATACCGGAGTTATTGCGTAACATACATAAAAAAAAAACAAATAGTCGAATTGAGAACCTCCTCCTTTTTTGAAGTCGGTTAAAAAGTAGATTTCTAACATACGGCGACTCTATCACACAAGACCATAGATATATCTATATATATGCACAAGACACAGTAGTTTAAAGAAATAAAAATAAAAATGTTATTTGCTCTAACTTAGGCCGGTACCTATGATGACCGTTTTGACGTTTGTTCACTCATCAAGTTTCGTATTAATTCATAACTACGTTAAAGGAGCTAATTGCTATACATTGTTGTCAGTACTGGCGTGCAGTAAAATTTATGGAATGTATAATAATTTTACGACACAACTTGGCACTTGTTTTTCGAATTTCAAAATTTTAAAAAATGATATCTATTAAGTAAACATTATATTTTCGTTTTATTAAAGATTTTTAATTAGCCACCCTTTGCAAAACTAGTTATAAATCTAAACACTTACAGATGCCACTTGCATTTGATTATATTGTTTATGTGAACATATGTTAGAAGATTAACATTTTACGCAAGCCTAAATACATCTAATGTGTCGAGTAAGTGCCGCACTAATTCAATGAAGACAAAAACCCACCACAGGAGGCGCCGGCGCCGATGCAGCATAACCTGACCGGCTGATGTAATCGTGGCTATTTCAAAATTTATTTTTGTACCTTCCATTGGTCAAGCCTTATTGTAATTTTAATTATATTTTTTTTAAATAAAACTTATTATTTTAGATCATACATACATACATACATACATATACTTCACGCCTTTTTCCCATCGGGGTAGGCAAAGACAACAGTCTTCCACTTGCTACGGTCTTGACACACATCTTTCGCCGCGCTCGTCGGTTACGGGTACTCTTGATCTGGCCCTTATTTAGGATGACCTCAATTTGGTCATGATAAGTTCTCCTTGGTCGGCCCATACCAACTTGCCCGCTCACACTCGCCTTATAAATCTGATTCGTCACTCTTCTTTCATTCATTCTCTCTACATGTCCGAACCATCTAAGCATCCCTTTCTCTATCTTTGTCACTATATCTTCTTCCACACCGCAACGCTCTCTTATCACACTGTTCCGTAATTTATCCATCCGAGTCACTCCAGCCATACTCCTCAAAGCTCTCATTTCTATTGCATTAATTCTACTTTCATGCTTCTTCTACCAAACCCAACATTCACTACCATGCATAAGTGTACGAACCAGCACCCCCCCATGCACAGCCAATCGTGCCTTTTTAGACACTTTCTGGCTGCCCATGAAGGTATGCAAGGCACCATTCACCTGATTCCCTGCGTTCACTCTTCTTTCAATGTCTCTTTAAACGTAGAACCCAAATACACAAACTCTTTCACTTGATCCACTTTCTCGCCTTCAATCAATATCATGCAAATCGTCATATCTTCCTCTCTTTCAGAAACCATTACCTTTGTCTTTCCCACATTAATTTTCATTCCTTTCCTTTTAAGAGCACCATGCATAATATTTACCATCTCCTGCAACTCCTCCACTGACGACGCTAATACCACCTGGTCATCGGCATATAGGAGGCACTTAATGAGTAAACCATTCATTCTCAGCCCACACGTACTCTCTTTCAAAACTTTCAAACAATTGTCCATAATTAGGTTGAACAGCCATGGCGACGCTACACATCCCTGTCTAACACCTTTCCCGATACTGAACCAGTCAGTGTAAGCACCATTTATTCTGACACAGGCACTGGAATCCTCATAGAGAGATTTCAGTGCCTGAACTAGACTGCCGTCCACCCCATACATAGGCAAAGTTGACCACAATTCTTTCCTTGACACTCTGTCGTATTATAGATCCTCTGCTTCAAAACCATACAATTAACATGCCTGTGTATATATTATATTTTTGGCTTTTCGCGGTCAGTGTGTGCATAATATAAGATTATCTTTTTAGCTACATTGCTTTTTAGGAAATATTTTACTTCGCCTTTATTTGTTTCCTCGTCAATAAAATCATGTTCACATGACCGTCAGTAATTAACATTCTTTGGTGTCATAAGTCTATCTATGGCTGGGATGACTTTAAAATCGATTATACCAAAAATTTAACATATTTGACATTTTTATATCTTGTTTTTGTAAACAAAAGTGACGTGAAAATAAAAATCAAATAATATTTAATTAATCTTTATTTTGATTTTATTTTTGTGGTATATAAAAGTGGATTGTCTGTTATGAATAAAACAAAATATTTTAATTGTTTTATAATAATGGTAAAATATTCGTAGAAATGGAAGAAGATAATATCGGAAATGTCAAGATTGAGGAAACTTATGAAAAGGAAGTTGGGGAAGGACCTACGATAAGATTTGTAAACATAATCTTTCTTCCTTTTCAACCCATCTTCAAGTTTTGTATTTTGATCACCGTTATTACGAAATGTATTATGGTGAGTATAAAGCTACCAACGACAATATTCGTCACTCGAGAACATCACTCACATCATGGTCCACATTTGTATTCCAAAATAAGAGTTCATGGTAAGTCCCCTGTACTGTAACTAGTTGTTGTACAAGTTGCTGTGCTAGTTGTTGTACTGTAACGTCAATAAACACGTACGTCATGTCCTGCCTCTTCATTGATTGCTGCCTGTTACGTCCCGTTTCATACTGTGACAGTATTATTTAATAAATACTTTCTAAGTGTTCAATTTTTGTATTAATTATTACATCGATATATAACCAGAAAGAGACGAGATGTCATATAATTTGTTTGAAAACTATTCCGCCAAATCATTACGATGACAACTGCGTTCCGATTGGTCAGCCCGAATTCGACCAATTTAACTTGAACTTTGCTATAATGGACGAAAATTGAAAAGTTACATTCGCTGCCTTTCAAGAATAATGGCACAAACCAAAACAGTTCATTTTTGTCTTTGTAATACAGTTGCATTCGGAATGTACTAAATTATAATGTACAAAAAAACTCCGAGTTTATTATTGGCTAAACTAAACAAGACCCAACATGGACCGGCGTATGATTTGTCGCCTTTGCGCGTTATATTTTGCTTTAGATGTCTCTGAACCAAAATCATGATGAATTAATTTAATTTTCACATAAGTCACTATTCTACAAAGCCATCGATATTTAATATTTGATTGCCGATGAAATGTGACTGCGTTTGTTTTGTAATTAGATGTTTTGCTGTTTTTGCCACACTACCGAATAGAACAGCTCCCCATTGTTAGAGATATTATCGTTATTACAATAAATACAGAATACTTTTGGAATACACGGAGACGTACACACAGGTCAATTGTTGGCGCTACACTATTTCAGCTTTCTAATTTGTGATTTCAGCGAAAACGAGAGTTGATATTTAAAAGTGATATAAGTCCTATTTGCCTATGAGATGGCCCTTATTTCGTCTCTATTTGTGATTATATATTCGATGAATTATTATAACAAACTAGTGGAGTAATTTCACAAAAAATAATTGAATATCATCCTGACATTAAATAAACGTAATTACAAATATTTTCTGATTAGTTTTCAATGATGTATAAATGATAATAGTCATAATCCAAAATATGGTTAGATATAAATTGTGAATCAAGTCGAGTTCTTAGGTTTTCGCGGTTGTTACACATAGGAAATGAAACTGTTTTTTTCGGATCTAAATCGTGTGTATTTATTTTTTTGAAACAAACCAAACTTTCGGGCCCTTTTGTGGTCACGCCTGACTGATAAACTGGCTGACTGAGAACCCGAAACGTTAATTTGTTGAAAAAAAAAAACAAATATAGGTAAGTAAGCAACTAAGATCCAAAAAAAATTTTCTTTCCTAATAATTGTCAACCAAATTTCCAACAGCGCTTGTATAAAACTCAAACGTGCAACACAAAATTGTCAGCCAGCAAGCAATTGATATTATGAATCCAGTGTGGATCTTGTTGAAAATTATTTCTGTTTCAGGGGCCCATGGCTTCTGTTCATAGTTTTGATCAATGCAACAGGGACACACTTCAGGATAATAAATATACAGTCATAGAAAATTACAAGTATTTTTCCGACATTGTATACATGGTTGATATATTTCTTCACTTGTTACACAGGTGAGTTGATCCACAAACAAATATCGTATAATTGACATATTTTTTAAAATTAAATATCCTTTTTAAGACAAGTGGAAGATGAGGCAAGAAAAAGGGAATATTTGCCAAAGGCAGCTATACCGCTGTTGGTAGACCTTATAAGTGTTATTCCGTTCTATAAGATGATTTCAGGAGAGTCGTGTACTCCACCACGACTATGGCCTGACGTGCTAGCATTTTCCGAAACTCTTGTGTAAGTTCATTTCCTAACCTCTCTTTTCACAAATATACAATCAGACTGTGACGGCAATATTACACGCCTTGACTCAGATCTGATATATGGACCAATTCTATACAAAAATGACAAAATAGAACTAACTTAAAAAATAAACGTACTTGCAATGCCATGTTGTTTCTTATGAAGTGATTGCGTTCTGTTTTGCACTTTATGGCGCGTTTACATTAGGTCGACAGGTCGCTTTCGGTTATATGGCGAAGACGGCCCAGTGTAAACTCTAAATTGTTCGACGACTGTAGCTGTTCGATCGACTACAAGTGACAGTAACACTAACGGGCGACTCAATGGCCTACGACAGTCGACCATCTAGTCGACACTAAACAGGTTTCAACGTATCGTCAACTGCATCCCACCATGATATGCGAGCTGGAGGCTGGAAAATACCTACCTACCCCATCAGTTCGTTAAACATTTCGAACGATTTCTTGTGTCTCTATGCCATGGTTATTTCGGCGAACGAGGCAGACGACTCTATGTAAACAGCACGTCGCGTCGACTGTGCGCCTTCGGTTATATTCGCATGCCGAAAAGGCGGCAGTCGATTTGGTGTAAATAGCTCCTTCAGCAAGATGAAGTTTTTGTCAAATGCGGCAGTCAACCCTTTGCTGGGCCTTTGGCGACAGTTGACACGGTATTAAACTCCTACAGATTCCTTAGTAGGTGACAATATGGTTTTGTATGTGCCTGTACAATTGGATTTCCTATTACTAATTAGCATTGAGAATTGCATTGCGATACTTTTAAAAACCTGGAGGTCTACCACGAAATACGAAGCAATATTTCCGACCTAACTCCGAAACGTCAAATGACAGCTATCGTATCCAATTTTGGCATTACTTTCATCGTAAAACTGACATTTGTGTAGTACGTATGAGTTTCGTTGCGGACGCTGTCACGTAGTATCATGTTTCGTGGTAGAGCTCGTCTACGACTGAGCCCTTTCTAATTCTAGCACTTCTAGTAGCAGTAGAGCTCCTAGTGAAAGAGTTCGTCCAGAGACGTCCTGCCACCTTACCTATTTATGCCGCCAAGCAGTAATGTGAGCGTTACTGCGTTCTGATTTCGACGGGTAAGGGTGCTGGTGACATTACAGCCACATGGGACTTATCAACCAATGTCTCAGGGTGTCGGGCGTAGTGGCAGTGCCCCTCAATTTTTTGTAATTTATAGCTGTGAGTGGCACTAGTTGCAGTTATAGATAGACGTATCGCTTAGCATCAGGCGCACGATTTGTTCGTCCCTTCACTTAGTATTATAAAAAAAGCGCAATTTCGATTATCACTGAACTTGCAATTTAAGCTAATATGTTTTTATCTGTCAGCATTTACAGAGTAGTCGACTATTTTTCATTAAAAAATGTACACTCAATGTTAACTTTTGTCACCGGTTTCTCTATCACGTTCTTCCTCGTCGTGAACGCCATTACGTGTTTTTTACTTCTGTTAACTCTACACGGACTATGTGACTCGTGTACTCGGATGACTGCTTACGACTGGCGACGTCCAATGAGTTATCGGGTATTGTATATTTTACAAAATTATTTATTAAACTCTACAATAAGTAGAACAAATATATTATAAATGTTACGTTTGTAAAATAGATCGAGACTGTAAATTGCATTTTCTTTCAGAATCCAGATATATTTAATTCCACTTCCCTCACCTATATGTATGGATTTCAATACGTATTAGGACATACTACATTTTATATAACTGACCAGTTGTTTCCAAAAACTATGATAAACTTTTTCTTCACAGTTTTTCTAATGTTTGTGAGTTACGTATTCTGGACTTTTCTGTTCGTACCACGTTTATTCAATGATGCATTATTACATATCAGATGCCTAAGTATGTATAGCACACGAGCAAAAAGGATGATAAGTGAAACTGCAATACGAAACACCTCCCCTGAAGCACATATAAATGTAGAAACTTTCTATTCTACCATGTGGGATAAGCAAAGAGGCATAATATCGATTCCAAAAATAATTCACTATATACCAAGATATTTAAAATTGGGGATTATACAAGATCTTTCATGGGCCGTTTTTTACCATAGTCCAACATTTCGAAAGACTTCTTTACCTTACAAGCGATGGCTTTGCGAACACATCATGCTGGAATACAGATTGCCTGGAGAACGATTATTTTCTGGATTACATTGTTATACAAAACTGTATTATTTAAAGTCGGGAGTTGTACAATTTTTTGCAATGGACGATACTTCGGCAGCAATGTTATCTGTGTCGGGTGGAACAATTTTTGGAGATGTCAGTGCTATCATACCGCCGATTAATAGAAAGGTGACAGTTCGTTGCCTTACATACTGCGAAGTATTTACCGTGACTCGTGCAGTCATTCTTATATCATTGCATAAATTTCCTAACGACCGACGAAATATACTACAGTTAGTACGTAATCGCATGAAACATGCGCGAGATCTATTTTATTGTAAACAAGAAATTAGAGGCACTGATGTTGTGGTTGATGAAGGCATTGACTGGATCAAGAAACGTTGGTGGCTGGTGGCCAACGCTGTTGCTGCCTATAAAAGATCGAATAAACGCAAACAATGTGAGATGCCTCGCGAAGAAACGAATTATCATTGCGTTAAGTACATCGGTCAATTAGTTTTGTGCAAAGAAAATCAATTGCGAAGGGAATCAATGTTTAGTAGAGACAAATTTCCGTGGTTATTGTCGTTGAAATCAAAGTTTATTACTGTTTGGAATACGATCGTTTGTGCGGTAGCTTGGATAACATTATTTGTATTGCCTCCTGCTATAGTTAGAATGGCTACTGATAAACCTGTGTGGATCCCATTTTTCCTGAAAACCGTTGACTTTATATATGCTGTCGACATAATTGTTTTATTGTTTTCTGCTACTGAGGGAGGACAGAATATTTCAGAAACAATTTTTGCCGCTCTAATTCGGCGTTGCAAGGACATTTATTTCATATTAGATTTATTTGCCACTGCATGGGTCGATTATTTCATGGCAGGAACTAACCAATGGTCATTAAGCGATATTGTTAAATTTAATCGCTTGTTAAAAACGCACATACTATTCCAAACTAGACGTGATATTAAATGGACCCGACACACAGAAATTAAATATCGAATGTATTTGTATATGCTTGTGGTACATTGTCTAATACTATACGCTTCCGGGTTTTTCATATACATGATGTCGATTTTGATCCCAGATATGACACAAGGGAATTATTTTCGAAGGCATTGCTTGGTTTCAAACACCACAAATTGTTTATTTAGAGAATACGGAATTTTGTCTTTGTCACTTATTTATATGTACACCCTGAAAGTCGAAAGTGGTATATTAGTAGCAAAAACTAAATTAGACTCGTCGTTCGACATTGTTGGCTCTTTTATTCTTTTCGTGGTAGCTTTTTACACACAATCATATTGCATGTCAATTTTCTACGTAAAATATAAACTCACAATTGATTACTGTTACTATGTAACAATTCTTAAAAGCTACTATAACATGTATAACTTACATCCAAAATTAATGAAACGTTTGGATAGCTATTTGGAATGCCACTGGAAATATATTAAGGGTGCAGACGTTCTGATGCCGAAGCAGCTAAATGAAGAACCGTACAATATATACTGGAATGTTCACGGCGAAGTTGCTGAAAAGATTATAAGGGAATCCGACTTGTTCAAGGAATCGGATCCGGTATTCATCAGAGAGTTAGCAAAATTGAGCCAGTTTTTGATACTACCTAGAAATATCAAGTTTATCAAGTTTGGTGTTCTCGTAAAACAAATAAACTGGCTTGTGAAAGTAAGTGACATTTTTTTAGCATTTTTATTTAATGAAATGAGAATTAAGATGTAGGGAGGTATGAAGACCATAGCGATCGGGCACTTTAAGCAAGCCATATTTTACAATTAAATTAATTACAATACAAATAATAACAACTGGCAACGAAAACAGTTCAGAGCAACCAACTGGGCGTGTCCACAGTCGCGCAACATCTGATCTGTCGATCTAAGTTTTGATCATAGTGTCCTCCGTATTCCAACCCTTTTGGTTATACGGGAAGGGCCCTAGTGCTTACAAGCAAGCCTGCACAGAGATTTTATCAGTCAGGTCCTGACCACAGATCAGATCGCTGACACAGCCTTTATCCGGTTCTCAAAAGGCTAGTGCCTTGAGTGAGTGCTCCTGGGTGCAAATAGGTGCCGAAGCTGTTTGCTTGCTCATCACGGCCGCATTGCACAACTAACGGTTGCCACCCTTAGGCGGCCTTTCCAACTGAGATGTGGAAGTGTGTGTGCAAGGTAGCGAGGCGGAATATGTATGTATATATATATATTATTACACCAAATAAAATACATCAGAAATATTAGATTAACAGAAAGTGAGCAAAGGTGGACTTATCACTAAAAGAGGTCTCTTCTAGCCAACCAAGGACAGTGAGAGCTAAAGTTATAAGCGGACAATAGCGTGCAAGGGAGAGTGCGGAAGAAATATAATAAATATAAATAAAGTACATAAATAAAAAAATACAGTTACTTGCATAAGCATTATAATGAATAATAATAAATCGCATCAATATGTAAATAGTGTAATTTATACATATAGGTACACATATACATATATACATAAATAAGTATGTACAAAAAATACAATAAGATGATTACTAAGATAGTTCCGCAAGAAAGTGCGCTTTCAACCTTTTCTTGAAAGAAGCGATAGACGGGCTAGACTGGATATGGGAAGGAAGTCGGTTCCACAACTGCGTTCCACGAGAAGAAAAGGAGTTAAAAAAGAAATTTGTTTTACAGTTAGGGCGAACGAGCATCTTATGACGCCTTGAACGAGTGGGAGGGGGTAGCAATTGGAATCGGGAACGAAGGTAGGAAGGGCAGTTGAAAATCTCTAAAGGAATATTACAAAAACAGTTTGCCTTGACTGTGCTACCGAATAAATGTGCTAGCGGAAGGCTCTGAACTTAGGGCGCGTAGGTGGGCAAGTATTCCGGCAAGACATCCATCCGGAACAATTACAGTGAAATTGGTAATACACGACCAAAATAAAATGCAACGTAGCGTCATTAGCATCATGCAACTTTTAATTTTGTCGAGTATTACTTTGACAGTAATTGTTTCGGACGGATGTCGGACGAAGATCGGGAGTACACCCCCAGGGCGCTACTAGACACTCACCAGGTGGGCTTGAGGTTAGGGTGAAGCTATACGAGTTCACGATATGAGTCAATATAATTTACGTTCTCGATTCTTCGAATAATGTAAATTTATTTTAGAAGCTTATGCAATACAACAACTCTTTTGATATTTCATTCGGAGTCTGTGTACTCTTAGCACGTTTGTGCACTGCATCCGGTTCGTATTCGTTCCAAACCAGAGACTATACAAATCTAGAAAACTCGTACGTACCCACTTCGAATATCGCTTGTGCACTAAGTCCGAATCTGGGGGTCTACTCTCGATCTCCGTCAGACATCCGTCCGAAACAATTACTGTCAAATAAGCAATACTCGACCAAATGAAAAGACGCGTGATGCGAATGAAGCTTCGTACTTCATACCTGTCTTTTAATTTGGTCGAATAAGACTTATTTGACAGTAATTGTTTCGGACGGATGTCGGACGGAGATCGAGAGTAGACCCCCAAATCCGAGAAAATACGAATATCGCTTCAGATAAAATGACCCTTGTGACATTTCGGATCGTCATTTCTCGGATTCGAAACTGATACAAGTCGGACGTGTGCGCAAACGCTATTAGACTTGTCGTAGTCTTAGTCAATGATAGCCATTTAATTAATTCAGATTTGTCCAGGGTTCTATGAAATGTGAATACAGAAATGACCTAAGCGAAATCGTCCAGACTATAGTTCCAAAGGGGACTGTCCTATCTGTTACTTCCGTATTATTGGGAGGAGCTTCCATCAGAACATACACTACCGACAAAGAATGTGAAGTACGTTTTTTTATCTTTTAAATGAGGCCAAATGTCCTTCTAATTCTAAATTTAAAAATCATTTACTTTTTATAAAGATTCTTAATATAAAAAAATATTAGTTTCTTTTTGGGAGGTTGTTGCAAACGAATTGATACTACAGAGTCGCAGGTGAGAATTTTAGAGTTACACATTTGCAAATACCTTGACGTCCCCATTACACGCGACATAATTCAATATATTTACAAGAAAACGGCATTTTTCTGTGTTTAAAGTACATAATTTTAGTTAATCACGATGTACATACGTGTTTATCATTCGATTGCGGTGACAAGAAAGTAACTTACAACTTGTTTAAACAAAGTTAAATTGCAAAAACCTAAGAACTCAACATGTTGTTATGTCTCAAGGTGACGGGCGTAGTGGCAGTGCCTCTTAGATATTTGTGACCTAAAGCTCCGAGTGTTAAAGCTCCGAGTGTTATTGGAACTCCTATTGATAGGCGTGCCTTTTTTTATGTTACCACCAGACGCACGACTTGTTCGTTCCGTTGCCTTTCTTGGTATCATAAAGAAGGCAATTGCCTGAATACTTCACGGTCATTCATTAAATGTAAAGTCCGCACTAATATTCAATACAACAACTTTTAGCTTCAATATACGACGCCACGGAACGGAATGAAATTTTGTAACCATAACTAAATGGATTTTATATCAATTGTGTAACGTATAAACTAGATACAAGCCAAAAAACAAGTTGCGCGACTTCCGGAGAATTCTCGCGCCACCGTCTAGTATCTAGTTTGTACGTTACAAAATTGACATAAAGTTAGTTATGCCATGTACAATTTCGTTACAAATATCCACTTCCATGCCATTCCGCGGTAATATAAATCGAGCTTCATTCCATGGCCAACTCTGAAATCGCAAAAAACAGCTGTTCCATTTTACCATGAAATTGCCTCCGTGGCCGAACGGTTACCATGCTGGACTACCATGCAGAGGTCACAGGTTCGATTCCCTGGCCGAAATAAATATTTGTATGGCCTACCTTTATTTCTCTCGTGAGTGTGCGTAATTTGTGATTGACTATTTGTGTGTCCATAGCACCCGAACCACAGGGTTTCCCTGGTGCAGAGCTGTGAGTGTATGCGTTATTATAATTATTATAGCTGATGATAAAACTCAGAATAAATAATAGTACAACAATTTAAGTGACTTAAGTGGGTGCAAATGTTTATTGTGTATTATTTTTCAGATACTATTTTTGCCGCATAAATTTTTTATCGATTGTTTAAAACGCTTTCCCGCTGAAGCTGCATATTTTGAAACTTGTGTAAAAGAATTTAGCCCTATGTACAATGAATTAATACAAGCGTATTTACACAAACACAGAGAGGTAAATGTTTATTTAAAAATTATTGCAGCAGCCCTAGTAAGGCAACAAGGTCGTCTTGAACTGGCTGAAATCTCAAATTATTATTTAAATAGATTTTGTTAGCAGATACGTTAAATTAAATTATTATTGAATTGATATTCAATTCGAGTTCTTAGGTTTTCGTTTAGGTTTGATATTCAATTCTTTTTTGTGAAATTACTCCACTAGTTTATTAAAATTAATACAAAGATCGAACATTTAGAAAAAAATCTTTCGATCCGGTCGGATTCGAACTGACGTCTTCTTGCATACCGTTCCAGACGCTATACCAACTAAGCCACGGAACCAACCAACGGACCTCACGAATTTTTCTATGTACTTGGATCGTGTCTTTGTATTTTGGTTTTTCAACGACTTTTTAGTTGTAGCGCCATCTATGAGAAATCTAAGACAGATTTATCACCCAGTTAGTACCTTTACAGCTACCAGTCCTGGCGAGAGATGTCGCTATTCACTGTATTAATTAAATTATTATTGAATTGATATTCATAGATAAATCTTTCATAGATTTCTCATAGATGGCGCTACGACTAAAAAGTCGTTGAAAAACCAAAATACAAAGATACGACGTACAAATGCACATACAAATGTGTAATAGTATATATTTGGTATGTAGCTATGTGTATGTATATTATAGTACGTTTTATGAAGTTTGTTTAAGAATGTATTCGGGTCAATTTATACACCACTGTTTAGCTGCTTTGTGCACCATTAACTGCCCTTCACCTACAACTCCGTATTACTTTGTAACTGCCTGAAAGAGATCGCTGTCCAGACATAAGGTTGCCGATTGTACATGTAACTATGTTTTTGAATTGTCACTTTTATTCTGTATGCAATAAAGCTTATTCTATTACATTCTATACAATATATAAATATAACAGATCAAGCTACAACAAGCGACATTGTTAAGAACCGCTTTGCAACTGCTAAATATCTATATATTTCTTTCTGTGTTGTAATTATATGATTTACCAACAAACATATTGTTATAGGATCTGAAGAAACTAAGTTACGCTACATCACGCAGCAGCTCCTTTCATTCTTATATTGGCGTTGTTAAAGAAAGAGTTATTCCCACGAGCTTTAAAAATAATATATTCATAAGACTATACAAAGAGTACAGAACGAATCCAGAATCAAGGTTGGTATTGATTATTGTGCTTAAATGAGGCATAATGCATCCGATATTATACTAAAGCTGACATTTCGTAATCCTTATTTTTAAGAAATATACGACATTAATACACGTATACAAAGTAATGTAAATAATCTTTTAATGTTAAGTGTATTGAATGTCACGATGTTTTACTAACATGATATTCAATGTGAAATTACTCCACCAGTTTTTCATGATTTCTCATAGATGGCGCTACGGCAAAAAGTTGTTAAAACAAAAACGTAGAACTGCAACAAGCACATAAAAAATTTGTAAGGTCGGCTGGTTCGTTCCGTAGCGAAGTTGAGACAGCGTCAGATACGATGTGATGAAGGTGCTGGTTCGAATCCAGCTAGATCGATATTCTTTTAACGTACACATTCAACATAGCCCCGCACTAGAGAAACTCTGTGTCGCGGGTGCCATGGACACACACATAGACAACCACAAATGACACCCAAACTCACGAGAGAAATAAATGTAGACCATACAAATATTTCTCCCAGCCCGGGAATCGAACTTGGGACCTCTGCGTGGCAATCCGGCATGGTAACCGTTCGGCCACGGAGGCAGCAGTGTTTTTTTTTTTTTTTTGGGAGATCGACTGTGTAACCTAGATACAGCTACAGGTAAAACTAGGGTATCAATGAAAATTTTTAATTAATATTTTTTTGTTTGTAGGTTTGTTGTAACTTGGATGTACATAAGAGGATTCATTGCACTTGTATCAATTCTCTACCATTGTTTAGGTAAGTTATTTGTATAAAATAAAAAATAAGGCTCACAAAATGCCCTTACAAGTCTTTTTCATTATTTTCGTAAATTCTTTTGTCATTTTGAATGTCTGAGAGCGCCTTCAAATTAGACGCTTATAAAAGTGCTGCAGCGGCACAACTGTGGCAAGGCTACCACATGTTACGTCTTACTTCACTAATTGTTACTGCAAAAGTGGAGCACGCTTGTCATCTGGCACGCTTGTTGATCGCTGTGACTTCGCTTCCATGATATTGTATGAAAATTAGTAGTTGCGCGGCTGCCACGCTACAAAAGCGCCACTGCAACGCTTATATATGCAGGCGCCCTATATTTTTTTAATTGCATATTTTTTGCCATTCCTTTGTGTTATAAGAGTTAACCTCCAACTTCTCGAAAACGCCATGTCTTGGGTGAAATGTTGTAGATAATTCCTAGGGCAGTTAAGGAAAATGGGAAAGCAGTACATTAGCAAACTTTGAAGTGTTAGATATAAGCGGTTTCCGAAGAACCATTGGAGATATGAAAAGTGTGAAATAAAAAGGTAGAGTCGGTAAATGATTTTATTTGTCATTTTTGTTACCTTTAATTGTACTATTTTTTGCTACTTGTTGTCGTTTTCGAAATATGAGATCTTCTTTGTGGCCCTTAGAAGCCGTTTATCTCTTACATCCGGAACTTTACCTGTGCTTACAACTCAATTACTTGAAACATAGCCACGCAGCTAAGGTAGTGTTCAATCTTCTCAGGTTTTTATTGAGTGGGTTAATTATTGTTTGCAGCCAGCATTACTTCAGGCTCTAAAGCATTTGAATTATTTTGTAGAGTTACGGGATACTTGGATATGATAATAAAATTATTTGTAAGTTTTGATTTCATAATAAGTAGTAAATTTTAATTTAGGTTTTTTATGAAGTAAAAGTTCCTAAACGTATTTACCACTCTATGTATAATTGTTAGTGAGTAGTACCAATTGACCATAATTACGTTATAATTATAATAAAAACGTAAAATTATTCTAAATATAGTCTGGTTAATAAAAGACTAGACAGAAAATAAGATGGCACTGACATGAATTTGAGGTCGTCAGTTAAAAAAAAAATTAACCTCACCGTTCAGCATCTTGACACTTTTGAAGAACATACATACACATTTAATACTCTTTTCCCACCGGGGTAGGAAGGTATAACGGCCTTCTTTTTTGTATTGGTTCACCAACAACTACTTACACTAGAATTACAACTAGGAAAGCACAATATTGCCTTAATGCTAAGTGCAACAGTTAATTACAGGCAGACACCGCATGCTATAATTGTAAAAACGTAATGAATCAAATTAAGATTAAATAGTGATTATTTAACAATATAAAAGATAAAAATAGAAACGAAAAAATATCTACTTATTTAATAATTGCTGAGAAACAAGCGCGAAATTGCTAAGTGACATAATAATATGGTGTATGTGACAATGGTGACTGATTTAGTTAAGCAGATTGGACAGTCTGTGTACAGATGAGTTTGCATCTAACACATTGCGTCTTGACGGAGGACAGAGAGGTGCGATGGGGTGACGAAGTAGTCTCAACGGGACACGGAAATTGTAAAGAGCTAGCAACTGAGGACAATTTATGTGGTTACGCAGTGCTTTAAAAGGAAATACAAAGTCAAGAACTTTTCTCCGTTGGTCAAGTGAAAACAATTTGAAATAATTTAACCCTTCACTATGTAAAAAAACTTTTTTAGGCTTTGCCGATCGAGAAAGCGAGATACCATATAAAACACCTCTGTATTCACTCCTATCGCAATGAATGAACTGTGAAATGTGGCCGTCACACCACAATACAATACTCTGATATGCTACTAACTAGACTTTGGTACAACAATATCTTTGTTTTAATGATTTTAAAGTTCTTGATGTTTCTCATAACAAACCCTGACATTCTAAATGCACGCTTGATAACATTTGCTATATGTGGAACGAAAGTTAACTTCTTATCATACAATACTCCGAGGTCTCTAATTCGATCATATTCTGAAATTAGATGATTGTCAATATAGTATTTAGAGGAAATGATATTGAATTTGCGACAACATTTTACAAAAAAGCATTTAGTTAGGTTAAGGTTCATACCGTTATCTATTTGCTACGGTCTTGCACAGGGGTGGCACTACAAACTTTCCTGTACATACCTTCGTCTGACGCACCCTAAGCAATAATCGGCGAGTACCTTACCCGATTGGCAAATTCTTTCACCACAAGGGCAAGCATTATAGTATATAGTGCCATCGATGCCATAAGAAGATTAAGAAGCTATGGTCTTAGCATACATCAGTACGTTTGTACGTGATCGTCAGTTAAGAGTACCCTAGACCTGACCTTTACAAGTCGCGCTCCTGATGGTAAGCTACACACCTGTCCATAACAGCTGCAGTGCACTCAGAACTTTAAATCGCAAAGATCTGAGGGCACCGCCACTGCGCCCGTCACCGTGAGACATAAGTTGACAAGTCCCATGTGCCTGTAATATCACTAGCACCCTTATCCTTCTTAGCCGGAACGCAGTAATGCTACCATGTTATTCAAAAATATTCATTTGAATAATATTTTTTATTCTGCAAACAGTTGTCAACTACCTCATTTTTATCTTATTGCCTTAATATTAATTGTTATGTTTGCTCGCAGATGCCTTACTATCATAAAAATGGCTTGGTTATCAGTAATATTTGGAAATGTATTATGCGATATATCACTGGATCCTTATTATTGGACATAATTATCAACACAGGACTGCCTGCAAGCTTTTATCAATTTTTTAACAATTATTACATAGACATGACCTCGATAGTTCTTGTTACTATATCTATCTCATTCGCTCAGTTATATATACTGATCGGAATTTTCGATTACTTGTCTGATACAACGAGAGTGAATTTTGCATTGATAACTGTGAGTATTGTATTCTGGGCATGTTCTGTCAAAACTTCAACAAGTGATAAAAAGAGCTACATTAGACGAAACATACATATTTAGTAGACATAATTTAAGAAGTAATATAAAATTTATTTGCGTTAGGACGTCTTCAAATTAGACGCTTGTAAAATGGCTGCAGTGGTACGATTGTGGTACGGTAGCCACGCGTCTATAGCGCTACAGTAATTTTTAGTTCACTTAATTGTGACTACGAAAGTCCAAGTTCTAAATATTGTATGAAATAGTAATGTCGCGCCTGCAGCGCCACTGTGGCGCTACTATAAGCGTCTAATTTGAAGACACCCTAATACAATGGATTTGAATACTTAGAACAACTGTTTAAAATGTGAGGTTCTGGTGTTTATCTTATTTTTATTTATGTACGACAATCAACAAGTTATATATAAAAACCAAGATTATACAATACAAATTCAATGATATAGAGATAAATTATTGCGTCAATTAAATTGTTACAGCGTGCACATTTTCATTTTCGTAGATGTACTGTGACGCTAGTGTAAGAATATTAATTTCCATAAACTGATCTCTCAAAGATACTCCGGGGCCCAGACTTTAAATTGCCCTAACCGCACGTTTCTGCAGGAAAAAGATTCTATTGATATCGGTGGCATTACCCCAAAGCAAAATGCCGTATGTCATTAGACTATGAAAGTAGCTGAAGTAAACCATTGTAGTGGTTTCGACGTCTGAAAGCCTCCGTATTTCTTTAATCGCGTACACTGCAGAGCTGAGCCGTTTTGATAACTTACTTATATGTGAACCCCATTGCAATTTAGCATCTGACGCTATACCTAGAAATACAAATGTATCCACAAGATTCAATTTTTCGTTTCTAACTACAATATTTGTAACCGTCTCTCTAACATTGGATAACGTAAATTTCACACAAATTGTTTTTTTCTCATTAAGGAGCAGGTTATTAACAGCAAACCAATCAACTACTTTAGATATATTCACATCGTCGTAGGAACATTGGTGCCTTTTAACTTTAAATAATAAGGAAGTATCATCAGCAAACAATCTAACTCATGTTTTATACCCTCCATGAGGCTAGGCAAGCTATTAAAATAAACTAAAAACAAAAATGGACCTTGGGTGTCCCACCCATGCCAATTGCGGACCTTGATGATCTCGTACCGTTAACATCAACCCTCTGTAACCTTCCGTTCAAATACGATTTAAGAAGGTCGAGGTCACGTCCCGACACACCATAATGGCGAAGTTTCCTGACCAGAGTATCATGGTACACACATTCAAAAGCCTTGGAAAGGTCACAAAATACACTAATAGCATCATATGAGTCTTCCCATGCATCAAACATATGTTTTACCAACTCAACACCAGCATCGGTTGTACAGCGATCCCGAGTGAAACCAAATTGTTTAGGAGACATTAAGTTATTACTATAAAAATGTGCACACATCTGACTTAGAATCATTTATTTAAAGATTTTACTGAGTGTTGGTAGTATTGAAATAGGTCTGAAATTGGTGGGGTCTGAAATACTACCAGATTTGAAAAGTGGAATAAATTTACTTTGCTTCATGAGGTCAGGAAACACACCATCACAACACATTTATTAAAGGCACATGCTAAGTATAATTTCGATTAAACGTTCTGGTATAAGTAGTCAGTGGCTCATATGAAGTTCGTTATCATAATTCAGCCTTGTTTTAGCGTTCTTTTAAAAATATCCACGAGTATAGTTATTTATATACAATATAAATAGTAATTTACATATTTTATTATATAAGATTGAGTACAATGTATAAGATAGGATTATGTACAAACAAAAACGTCAATAGAAAAACTTATTTCATTGCGGAAATTTATGAGAATTCTCAGATTTGCTGGTGTCTCTCCAAGATGTGCCTCAAGGGTATCATTATATTTCCTTTTGCATATATTGAACTGAAAGTGTATATAAATTAAAGTCCCCTGACACGATGAAGTAAGTTTTCTTATTGCCTGCAAGCGATTCAGGCTCAATTTACATTTCCGCGAAACGGAATGGAAGCGATTTTTTCTAACGAAATTGTACATAGCATAATGAACTTTGTGTCAGTTGTGTCGTGCAAACTATATACGATACGGTGACTACGGGGAATTCCCAAGATGTGCGAAATTTCCGGAAGACGCGCGACCCGTTTTTTGGCTTGCATCTAGTTTGTACGTTTACACAAGCTACTTAAAGTTACAAAAAGTCACTTCCATTCCGTTCCGTAGCAATGTGAATTGAGCCTAAATAATATAAACGCTTATTAGATTCTGGCGTAACTTTGCCAAAATCCATGTTAATAAAAATGGAAATAAATTACTTTGCTATTCCGCTAACCCAATGAAATGCCACATTTAAATAATTTATGTATTTATTGTCTAGGTGGTGAAATTGCACGTTATAATATTTTTATTACTCCTCTACATCAGTATTTTTTTTATGGCAAGGTGTGTAGATCTAAGATACGGTGCTACTGTGCTGAATAAATTAAAAAAAGCAACTTGCTGGATGCCGAACTATTATCTATTAAACGACACCCTTGAAGCTTATGAAGTTGATCTTGTAAGTTTTTAGTTTCGTTTATTCAAGGTGACATGAAACGTGAATTTACTGTTTAATAAAACAGTGCTATTAGTAATTTCGTGTTTGATGACAATTACCGCACACTTAAAATTAAAAAAGATCTTACTTATTCTTCCTTATTCACTTGTTTTTTTATAATATAAATCTAGTACCTATAGTAAATTAATAAGCAATACTTCAGTACCAGTAGAGCTCCTTGTAAAAGAGTTCGTACAGGGAAGTACCTATTTCTGCCGCCAAGCAGTAATATCAGCGTTACTGTTTTCCGGTTTTGAAGGGTAAGGTTGCGGGAAATTACAGGCACTTGGGACTTGTCAAACTTATGTCTCAGAGTGACGGGCGCTGTGACAGTGCGTCTTTGATCTTTGAGATTAAAGCTCTGAGTGGCACTGCGACTGTTATGGACTGTCGTGTAGTTTATTATCAGGCACACAACTTGTTCGTTTCGTCCCTTTATATATAAAAATAATAATAACAATACTCCATTTCATTTCACCTTATTTTTTTTTGTTTCAGATTTATACCCTGGCCTTTAGTCTAACACAAAACATGTTAATGATAAGGGCATCTTCTATTTGGACAATCGCTGAACATGATGTTCTTTATTATACTGTTACTTATGTAACGCTCGGTGGTGCATATTGGTAAGTTCCTGTATATTTCTATAGGTTAATTAATACACAGAAGTACTTAGAAATATGTATTTTAAGAATTTTATGGTTATTCACTAACAACGCTTTAACAATGTTTTAAAAAAAATCTTACCTATAAACATTAACTAGTGCTAAATTATTGCTTAATTTGTTGTTTAAATAGCTGTCAATATAAAAAACACCTTAGAAACCTTCTTAAAACTCGCTAACTAACAAGATGGCTGACATTAATCAGCTGTTAGCAGGTTAAAACGTCAATGAATTAAGCAGATTTGTTTTGACTTTTATTGTGAGAAAATTTTTACTTGAATTGTGAAAAAATGGAAATTTTTCGGCGGATTTGTGAAAAAATGCAAAAAAACATGCAAATAACAAGAAACGATACGATCCACTGCTTCGGTTAGATGAACATGAATTTAGGAAACGACATCGTTTTTCCAAAGAAAATATGTTAAATGTAATAAACAATGAGTTTATTAGTATTTGTCTTTGATTCAATTTTTAGATTTTCGCTCGAAATAAACATCAAATGACAGCCGTCTGACAGCAATTTTCTGTTTTTTGCTTTCTATAGCTATTTTTAATGGTTTAATCTTCTAATGTTGCCATGGTAATTATTTTTCTTCATTAAACATTACTTAACTAAGCAGTGTTAAACTTTTTTATAGGTAATAGAAAGTTAAATAGTGCTTAAAATCTTAAATAATGCTTTACGGTTAATATTGTGAGCGCTGGAAGAGAAAATCCCGGAGTCAACTCCCGGAAGGACCAAATTAGGAAATAACTTTTCTTTATTGGGTCTGGTCTGGGTATTCTGGAAAGTGGCCCAGAGTGAATTCAAATGCTCTAGTACTCATAGGGAATTCGTTTCACTTAGTATATATCGTATTAGTTTCATTTTCAATTCAGACGTTTAGTTGCAAATTAGGTTGCTAATGGTTTGACCTACCGCCTCTCAAGCAGAGGGTCGTGGGTTCGAAACCGGGCTCTCTCCTCTGACCTTTCTCCCTCTGCTTCTTCAACCTCTGACTTTCTTGGAATTTTGTGAAATTTGATTTGAAATTTACCATAAGCTTTTCGGTGAAGGAAAACATCGTGATGAAACCTGCACGTCGCTGAAGGTTCGCAGCCCTCGGAAAACGTGTGATGTCCCCAACCCGCATTGGGCCAGCGTGGCGGACTATGGCCAAATCCTCGTTTGAAAGGAGACCCGTACCCAACAGTGGGACGTATAAATGGGTTGATGATGATGAGTTGCAATTACCTAGTATATTTCTACAGGGTCTTCTACAATCTGGGCAAAGCGTTACTTATTCTAAATTTACGAACAAATGTTACGTTTCACAACGGTGTATTTCAACTGAAGGCGTTTTTGAAATCTGAAAGAGTACCCAAAGAACTTTTGACGAGGGCCATAGATTATTTCGATTATTATTGGATAAGGTAAAATTGTAGTTAATGTTTAATCATTTATTTATTTTACATCGTACTATCACAGATACACAGTTACACTTACTGCAAATAACATTGCAATCCGGTTACAATTTTTACACAGTTTAGGCAATGTAAAAAAATATGAAAATACATAGTTTGAAGAAAAATACTGAACGTGAATAATAAAATACGCAAAAAGGTACAAAATTATTAAATATTGAAATATAATGATAACAAAAATGTAAGAATTACAAAGGCTGAAAACAACATTGTAATAATTAAATTTTTATTGAATTGATATTCAATTATTTTTTGTGAAATTACTCCACTAGTTTATTTATATGTTATTACTACATTGTAATTTTTTTCAACTTTGTGACACTCGCACTCTAGTTTGATTTTCAAAACTTATAATGTCATGTAACTCTAGAGATATTTATTTATGTTTATATGTTGGATTTTTTTGCTGATGTAAAAGGTTAGAGTTTAGGAACCGTTTGGTCATTTCTTGATATTTTGTGGATTCGATCCTTTGTGCTTAACTACGTCCAATTTAAGTAATTAAAATATTAATAAGAAACAATACTTTTTTTTCTATATTTTACATCACATAAAAAGATAAAAAATCTTCATCCTAAAAAATTTCATAGAATTCACATACGAGATACAAGACAATATAAAAAGTATTTTTGTTAATAGTTTTTTTTTTTTTGTTCTGATAACTGTTCAGTATAATGAACCCAAATAACAACTACACAAACAAACTACAAATTTTGTATTCGAAATATGCAAATATTGCTTTTAAATTTAACGTTTTCTGATAATTGTTCGTTTTTAATGTACAGTTTTTTCTAATGGTATTTTTTTTTTAATTAAGTCATTAAATTTGCTATTTTTCTGTAGAACAAAAGGACTGAACGTGGATGCTATCATGAGTAACCGCGTCGGAGTGGTATTCCGTGAGGAGTTATGTTATTTTTTCAATAAAAAGTATGTACTTCCAGTCACGCGTTCTTGAGACACGTCAGTAGCAGTGTGCCGGCGTAGAGACCTTCACACACTTTCCCTTCTTTACTCTACTTTATTCTATCTCTTTACACCTTAAAGAACGTTTAATTTTTCAGTCTTCTATACTCTGCCGTCCTCTTCGCTCCTCTGATACACTCATACTGAACATGGCTCTGATTTTTACTCCAACTCGTTTACTGTATCTGCTATCCACCTATGGAATTCTCTCAGAACCTATTCATCGATCCCCTCCCTTCTCTTGATTCTTCATCGATTCTCGAAATTCAAACGTCGTGTTAAGGATCATTTTCCTTAACTACTAAGTCTTTTTTTTTAATACCCATTCCTTCATTTTATTTTCTTTTGCATAATTTTATATATTTGTCTTATTATTATTGCTATTTATTTTATTTTCCTACAAAAGTATATAAATAGTGTATATTATTATTATTATTTGTGTATTGATTCCAATAATGTATGTATTTGATATTATTGTTCATATATTTACTTTATTGATTAGTAGTATATTTCTTTATAACCACTTTCATTACAAGATATTTTTTGGTCGTACCCCCCCGTCCAACTGTTAAATTTCTATCCTAAGGTTGCCTGGAAGAAATTGCTACTTAGCAATAAGGCCACCTGATGTATCTTACTCTGTGATACTTTACATTACTGTCCTATTTTGTCATTGTAATTTTTATTGTGCAATAAAGAATGTTTCATTAATTCATTCATTCAGTGAGCTCCTTGTGAACAAGTTCGTCATGGCAAGTACTGCCACCTTACCTATTTCTACCGCCAAGCAGTAAAGTCAGCATTACTATCTTTTACTATCTTCCGGTTTTGAAGTGTGAGCGTGCTGGAGAAATTACAGGACTTGTCAACTTATGTCTCGAATCTTGGCTATTTGAAGCTCTGAATAGCACTGCAATTGCTATGAACAGGCGCATCGCTTATGCACCAGACTTATTCGTTCCGTCACTTGCTATCATAAAAAAACACGGTGCCCTTTTTGTTAAAAAAATAATTAACTTTTTTGTAAATGTTTATAGTTAAAGAAAATGGGAATTAAAGCACAGCTACCCACCGTGTGACTCAAGGACACTACAGTTCCAAAATTCTTGCCTTCTATATGTACAGAATATCTCAACCTCGTCAACTGTTTTAGGACACTGGAAATTGCAGCTTCGTTGTTGGATGGAGGCAAAAGTTTACAGGGTCAATTTGCTAATCTTGCGGTAGACGTGTACTTCTTGGATAACCAAGATATAATGAGGGAGATGGACCTAACTCCCAATGTATTTATTGTGAACCGTGGCAAGGTTAACATTACTAAGGAGGGAAAAATATTGGCATCTCTTACAAAAGTACGTACTTTGTCCATGCATTGGCTCGACCAATGAATGTAGAATATAGTTTACTGTTAGGATTTTTTTTCGTTATCTAGTAGAGCTCCATAATGAAATCAAATATTTTTTAATAATTGTCAGAAAGTCGTATATTTAATTATTCTTGATACCATACAAAGATCGAATAAAGAAGAAGATGAAAGTCACAGATTACTTAATAGTTACTACGTAACAGATACTTCACTCTCATACAAAATTGAAAATACCTACGCTATAATAGCCTACTAAATGTGACTAATGACACCAGGCGCTCACTACGAGAAAAAAAGAACTTAACACGCGCTCACAGAGATGAAAATAACGTTGCCCGCCGTGAGCAGTCATGCGGAGCCGAATGCTCATAAATGAAAGGTTTGTATGAGCGCTTGAACCGACATCAGCGGCGCACTTAGCGGTAGGCACTTATCACGTAACCTTGAGCGAGTGATCCGTCACGCTCTATCAAAGTGAGCAGCTATGAGGACGTCTACTGTATATGAACCGTGAGGAACAGCGGAGGCTACACTGACAAGATCGAACAATACCTGCCTGGCTCTTAAATAAAATAATGACAAAGATCGGACAACACGAAGAAAGTGTCCTCCGATCAAAGATTTAAATCCTTTATTTCCCACACCACAAGCATTACTAGCTTTTTTTAGCAAGTCAACAATACTAATATATGCCAAGTCGTTCACTATTAACATAATGTATTACATAATTAAATTCAAAGACTTACACATACACACACAATTAAATATTAATTTAATAATAATTATAATGTTATCAACAAATTGCATAATAAATTATCAATAGATACATTAAATTTCATAAAATAATGAGCATTTTTTTTAGAAATCATAAGGTTAAAATATTCGTCAACTATATAGAATACATTGTCAATTAAATTTCTTTTTTTCTTTAAATTGTAACTGGGGCAATTCAAACAAATGGGTGTAATTTGTGGTTGTCTTTGTGTGCGTCCATGGCACCCGCGGTACAGGGTTTCCGTAGTGCGAGGCTAAAAGAAAAAAATCGGTTATAGTCGGTGGTAGTTTGAAAACGTCATGATATTTAATAAAATAAATAATGTGCATAATAACCGCCTAAGTATTTTAATAACCGGCAATCTATCTCACCACCGCATTACATGTCTTTCAACCTTGACGTTGGCGAAATCGTCGCGCAAAACGACGGAGCCATAGATATAAAAGTTGAAGTTGAAGTTATGCATAATATTTATTATCTACTTAGTATCTACGAGTACTTAGACGGCAGCATATCAAGCTAACACATTGACAGATCTTAGTCCATGGCTCTGGAGGCGATATTCGAACAGGAATTTATAGGTTCATGTGCTATTGAACTGGACTGTATTGATAAAACCTATTAATATTAATGTTACTTATTTCAAGGGTTCTATTTTTGGTCAATTACATGGGAATAGCATTCGACCAACTCGTGTTACTGCAACAGCTGCAGGGCATACTGACGTATTGATGTTAAAAATCACTGATTTTCAACAATTAATTGAACATAACACTGAGGTGAGTTAATTTATCTGATTACTATTCGTTACCACGATTCAACCTTAACTTTTTTTACGATGTCAAGTGACAAAACGTACAAGTCGTCTGACACGATATAAAGTTTTATACAGTTATAACAGTTGCAGTGCAAAGCTTTAAATCGTAAAGATTAGGGCCAGCGCAAACCGGGGGATAGGAAGGCAGAGGATATAAAACTTATCCAACCGAGCTCGGCGTGTCTTAGCATGTTTCTTTAAGCGGTATTGAAGAACACGCTATAGGATACCGAGACAGGCGGCGCCGCCGCTGGTATGCGCCGGAGAGCGTACGCTGCGGTACATGGACGTATCGTAAGGGATGTTCCTCATCAGTGCGCTGCCGGGCATAACATCCTCTTCAATGCTCTCCCCCGTCGTCTGACTGGGCCATATAGAGCATTGCCACTAAGCCCGTCTTCTTGCGACATAAATTGATAAAAGTTGACAAATATTTTTTTTCTATGATAGCAAGTAACGGGGCAAACCAGTCGTGCGCAAATATTTACTTCAGTAAATACTTACTGTTGAATAAAAAACTTTTTCATTACTAGATAATTAATTAAAATTACAAACATTCTGGGTGCAAAATAAATTGTCTATCTAACATATTATACAGAAATAAAAATCTACATTTTACCATTGATCCACAACACCCAACTACACAATATACTGACATACATAACAGAACACTAGTAAATCCCGAAATTAACACAATGTTTTATAAAAAGTCTGACTGGTTAATTTAATTTTTGTTTTTAATTTAAGGCTAAATTGAGAATAAAAAAATTGTGAGCCATTTATTAGTAGGTAAGTGACAGTCAATGTTCAAGTACAGGTTCAAGGTTAATTTAACTTGAACGTTTTTCTAGCAAATTTCATAAAAACTTAGTTGAAACAGTTTTTATTAGTTGAAACAGTATTCTCATTTCTTGTTTCTCTAAATGTGCCGGTGCGTGTACAAAATAAGAACAGCTAGCAAACAATCAATATGAAAGTAACCAAATATTACATTATTTAATAAATAATAACTGCTATTTACAAAAGTTACTTTCGCAGTGCCACCTTCTTGCGTTTCAGTTTGGACTGACACTATATTTACTTTTCTTACTTGTATCTATGTATTGCTAGTTTCAGTTATACTGTGTTAAAAAGTCAGACTAATGAAAACGGTATGGTAATGGTATAAAAACAAATACAAAGAATGTAAAAAAAAATTGCTGGCGTAATGCTTAAACCAAGTGTACTTATAAATTGAGGCTTTCAGCGCTTTCATGGATATACATAAATAATAATAATAACGCTCACACTCAACATAGCTCCGCACTAGGGAAACCCTGTGTCACAGGTGCCATGGACACACGTAGACAACCACGAATTACACCCAAACTCACGAGAGAAATAAATGTAGGCCATAAATTTTTTTCTCCCGGCCCGGGAATCGACCCTGTGACCTCTGGGTGACAGTCCGGCATGGTAACCGCTCGGCTACGGAGGCAGTTGTAAGGCAGGTAACAGCAGTGAAACCCACATTTTTTTTACTATATAACTTTGAATGATACTAAAGTATCTAAATATTTTATATTTGGATGCTATTTTCAAGTATAAAAAATTAATTGATTTTGTTTATACTTGAAAATAGCATCCAAATATAAAATAATTATATACTAAAGTACTTCAGTATCATTTAAAGTAGTAGAGTAGAAAAAAAAAGTGTGTGGGTTAACACCATTATTGCGCTGATTGCCTCAATTACAAGTGGAAGTTGTATTTTCGATTATTATAATTTAGTACTCTCATTATCTAGATTAACCAATTTCCTATTGCGTATGCCCACAGCCCGCGTTTAAAATATATACACGCATATTTTAAACCGTAATTTGAAACGTATACAAAGGTTTACTGACTGTGTGCAACTGAATCTTGTGTGAATCACATTACCGCGCGTCAACTGCGTGTAAAAAATACGCCGTGTGCTTTAGGCGACCGATCGCAATCGTGTTGTATTTACCATTAAGCATTGACAGATATAAAAATACAGTTCTCAGAAATAATACCAATATTTGAGCGGAATGCTCTTTAGACGACATATAATCCGTTCATGGAAAGTAACAACTTTTACCGTAAAATTAAATATTAGAACAACGATAGTACGAGTGTAGTACACCTCGTTTCTTTGTATGATCTCAAAAACAGTTTACAGTAAAATTTCCAATTAATTTCTGTGTAGTTGCCACCTTTTCCATAGAGAAGTATTAATAAAGTACTGACAAAATTCAATGATTTACATATATCGAACATTTTATATTAAATCAATATAAGCATACTGCAAGGAAAGTACTGATATTTTTGTGTGCGGTACTATTTATGTACTGGCAGTCTGTCATGAAAGGGTTAAGCATAAATTATTTTTTAATATTTTTGTTTATATCAGTCTGTCGGAATTTTTGTTCTGAATAAGAATTGAAGTTGATTTGAAAGCGACCGAGTATCCAGTTGACCGAGAATCCTTTTGTTTAATCACGATAATTAAAAGGTTTCAAGTTTCAAGTTGATGCTTGAAATGGAGAATGAATTCCTAGAATCAGTATGAAGTGTACAACTGTTCCAAGAATAGGTTAAACAAAGTACAGCTTTATTTTTGTAAAGTTTGTAATTGAGTACCTGTACATTAGGAGTTCTAAAATCTAAGTATAAGGCCTCATAAAAGAAAATAATTAAAAGGTCATCTTTTTCGAAATTATTCCTGTAGCAAGAAATACGTAGTATTAGTTTATATTGCATTCGCAGCGCGAGTACAGCTTGTAATAAAATACAAAGTCTGCACACGCAATGCCAACCCTCTCTTTGTAAACAAGTTTATAACCTGGAAACAGTGCATATACCTTTTGTAAAATTGTTGAACTAAGAAGCACTAAAGTGTTAAACAAAACACACACTCGTTTGTGTCTACGTTAACCGCGCATAATTTCTTATTTACGAATCTAAAAAATGAAACTTGGACGAGCGGGGGTTTTAAAACAAGTAATGTTTTTTTATCATTTTTTATGACGTGGTAAGCGACACGCCTGTCCATGACAGTTCCAGTGCAATTCAGAGCTTTAAATCTAAGGGTCGTATTCCAGAACCCTACTGTACGCTCAAGTTAGGACTTGAGCAGACTTGAGTATGATTTCAAGCACTGGAAGTACGACCCTAATGGCAAGGACTTGAGTATGATTTTCAGTGCTCACTGCAGTACTCAAGTCCTGACTTGAGTATTGAGTAGAGTTCTGGAATACGACCCTTAGACTTCCTTTATTTTTTTCCATCCTCTAACTTTAACTCGCAAGGATCTAAGAGGCACTGCCACTGAGCCCGTAACCTTGTGACATAAGTAGACAAGCATGTGCTTGTAATTTCAACAAAAGGTTCAGTTTCAAGCAAGGAGGTTACGTAAGTTCAAAATTAAAACATTCGCTTAAATGTTATCTATACTGAAATTTTAGTTTTTTAGAAATTTTAAAATTACTTTTTAGAACCATATTAGTTCGAGTTATATTATCTATGGAAGAATAGCTAGCTGGCCATCTGTTTACATAAAAAAGAAACAAAAAACTGGCCATTATCAAAATCCATATTATTGTGTTGTGATCCATATTTATACATACAATAAATAAACATTGTATTTATTTCCTCGCAATTTGTGATGTAAACATTGTATGTATCACTGACGGCAAAAAAATACAAAATTCGGATTATTAATATTTTACTACTCCCATATATGCAGCGCAAACCCAAATGGGCGCACTTACAGTACACCTCGATAACTTTCTACAATAGCAGCTTATCTCAAAAACACATAATTCGAGAGGAAAATGGTTTAAAAGAGATTGAGGCGTACCTGACGCGCAAATCTGACGACTCATTATACCAGCACAATATTGTGACATGTTTATTGTAAGGGTATTAAAATAGGTTTCTAGAAAACAAATTTAACTGCTAATTGTTATACTAATTAAGCTAAATTTTATTTTTATTTTTATTATGATACTGTATAAACTCACATATCCTAAAATTAGACTATATTATATTGTATTATATTATATTATGTTATATTATATTATATTATATTATATTATATTATATTGTGTCGTGTCGTGTCGTGTCGTGTCATATCATATCATATCATATTACATATAATTCCATTGTATAGTACAAACAATCCAAGCACATAAGTACTGACAGCATCCTCTAAATGTACCTACTCTATCTATTTGTATAGGTACAAAGCAGTAGGTAGGCCTACTGGAGCTGTTGACTAAAGCTCAGAGAATTCTATTTTAGTCGATGGCTGTACTTGCGATGGAACGATCGAAGCTCTGTCTAGGCTGCTCTGTATACATTTTAAAAGCCACTGAAGAGCCCACGCTAAGAAATAATAAATTTATCATCCGATTATTTATTGATCGACAGTAGAATGACTGTTTGATCGATCGATTGATATATATATATCGATACGCCAACGTTACCTAACTACCGATCGACATTGATCGCATCGATTCTCCATCGATTGATTGTTGTGGTAGCATCCAAAAACTGACCACGGCTCTATTTTAAGTTTCATGAACATGACTTTGAACAAAATAGTTCATAGCATAATAAAGTATTATGTCAATTGTGTGACATCCAAAATAAGGTCGCGTTTCTTCCAGAGAATTCTCGCGCAGCAGCGCAAACACTTGACATAATGGTGATGAAGCTATGAACAATTTCGTAACAAAAATTCACTTCCCTTCCATTCCGCAGCAATATAAATTGAGCTTATACATCACTCTATATATTTCAGGTTAATAATAAAATATGCGCTCATCCCGAATCTAAGAACGATTACTTGTCAACGGCTAAACCTGTTAAAGAAGTTGCTCAGGAGACCATTGCTTATATGCTGCGAGGCTCACACGTAATTAAAATACCAGTGAGTAAAAAATTGTTATAAACCACTTGTTACTACAATGTTTCCATGAAATAAAACATCTGTCTTTAGTATTGAAAGTATTTTCAGTCGATGTCCCATAAACGTGAGACGCGCTGTATAAGTAAATTTTATTATGACTTATATGTAATGTACATTTTATTATAATTAATATATCGAATGTGTAATGTATTTATTTGAAACACGTCTATTAGAAAATGTTCTTTGATTGCACCCCCTTTCTAATTTTTAAACTAAGATTGCCAAGAAGAAATTGAATGAATGAATGAATGATAGTTTTTATTGATCATAAAATTACTGTGACATCATAGAACAGCAACATATTAAGTAATTTTAGAAATAGTAAGTTAATGTGCAACAGGCGGACTTATTACTATGTAGCATTAGGATAGAAATTTGGGATATGTAAAAGAAAAAAGAAATTGCTACTTAGCAATAAGGCCTCCTGTTGTAAGTACATAGTAGCTGTTGCTGTGATGTTGTATGTAGTAGCTTATTCTGTGATAAATTGCTGTTTTGTGTCGTGATTGTATTATTTTTATGATCATTTAGGGTTAACCAACATTAGTTTAGATCTTCCAAATTTCCCCAAAGAATATTCGTTGAAATATGGAAAAAAATCTACTTCCCATACTAAATAGTCAGGTAACTACATATTTCTTATGGGAAATCATTGTTTTTTTTCATATTTTGACTAATGTTCCTTGGGGAATATTGTTCAGTTTTATAGGTACTGTCACTGGGTGAAGTATTATTTCGCTTATTCGTTTCACCCTGTATATCAATTTCTACAGTTTGTTTTTTGATACGAAGTGGGTGGGACGAATAAGTGTGCGCCTGGTGGTAAACGGCACGCCTGTTCATAGCAGTTGCAGTGCCACTCAGAGCTTTAAATCGCAATGATCTGAGGGGCACTGTCACTGCGTCTGTCGCTCTGAGACATAAGTTGATAAGTCCCATGTACCTGTAATTTCACTAGCGCCCTTCCCTTCAAAACCGGAATGCAGTAATGCTCACAAATTACTGCTTGGAGAAAAAAGGACTTCTCTGGACGAACTCTTTCAGAAGGAGGCCTACTGCTACAGTTCTCACAGTTCTCTGTGTTATTTAAAAAGACTTTCAACAAGACTAAGACAAAGATTGAATCTGCAATACCAAGACCAAGTGTACTGACGCAAGACTGGATCAGTCTCGTCTCGGTCTTGCATTTAGGCAACACTAATTTAATTCATTCACGAAGAAGGCTTTCTCTTTCATTGATAATTGTGTAAAAATGATTAATGAAATTCTTTACAGAAAATACGTCGAATAATACAAGCTGAAAATAGTTTAATGTTTTCTCGCTTTTTGTTCTTCAATTGGTTCATTATACCGACCATTACGGTTGCGCTCACGACAATGGTTGGAGTCCTTACCAAAGGAGAAAATATTAGAAAAAGATTTACCGCCCCAGTTCCATACGAAATGGTCATTATGTTATCAATAGTAGACGTATTTTACGTTATTTGTGTAATTGTACAAATTTTCGGAGTAAGTTATATAAATATCCTTGAATTTATTACTAATGAATACAAAAATTGGTGTTTCGTAAATTATGTGTTCTTAAATCGAAAATAATATACAAATTAGCGAATTATTTATAAAAAGTTGATTTAATTGCGCTTACCGATTTTCATGTAGATCAGCACCAAACCTGATTTAAAAAATGACATTTATTTTTTTCTATCATATAAAGTTTCTCTGCAAAATGAAAACTTTAAGAAAAATGGACGAAAACACAATTTTTATATATGTTTCTTTTAATTTTATTGTAATATTGGTTAACTACATAAAAATGTACTATAACATGATTACAAATATTTCTAGTAACGTTTTAGTTTTCTATCAAAACTTATTTTGGTACTTTTCCTGTTCATATAATACCAACACAGTGCAATGTGCACCAAACGAAAAGCTGTTTCGTGTTGCCTTCCTAAATTTATATTGTTGACATTGGTAACTACTCAGGAAGATAAAAAATGTAATTTAATATTATATAGATTTTAAATACTAAAAAACATAGTTTGTACATATGACAGAAAACCTTTAAAAGTATAAACTTAACGCGTGATTTGTAGGTAAACTAAAGGTGATGAACTGCCTCCGTGGCCGAACGGTTACTATGCTGGACTGCCACGCAGAGGTCCCAGGTTCGATTCCCGGGCCGAGAGAAATATTTGTACGGCCTACATTTATTTCTCTCATAAGTTTGGGTGTAAATTGTGGTTGTCTATGTGTGTGTCCATGGCAACATAGGGTTTCCTTAGTGCGGGGCTATGTTGAACGTGTGCGTTATTATTACTATTATATTCTTTATTATTTTTCCAGTAATCAGCACAAACAAATACTACAGGGGTCACTGATAAAATTTAAAACAGTTTTTTCATCGCAGAGCTATTTGTTGACGCACAGCGCATGTGTGCAGCGCATACACTCACAGAATTTTCGGATCTAAGTCGCGTGTATTTATTTCGTCAAATAAGCCAAACTTTACGGTCTTTTTATAGGTCCTGTAATCATAGGTGACTAAGTGTCGGACTTGTAAAGAGTCAAAAACGTTGCTTTGTATATTTAGATTCTTTTTATAATAATAAAGCACACACTCAACATAGCCCCGCACTAGGGAAACCCTGTGTCGCTGGTGCCATGGACACACACATAGACAACCACAAATTACACCCAAACTCACGAGAGAAATAAATGTAGGCCATACAAATATTTTTCCGGTCCGGGAATCGAACCTGGGGCCTCTGCGTGGCAGTCCGGCATGGTAACCGTTCGGCCAAGGAGGCAGTTAAGTTCGAAGAAATAGTTTTATTTACAATTGCGAAAACCTAAAAACACGAATTGTTTATTTTGTGCCTATTAATTTTTTCTAGTTTTTCTTTTGCAGTTTATTACTTTTTACAAGTAAATGTGCATTTGCTATATTAGTGACAATTAATGTACTTAGTACACTTCTCCATATGTCCAAAACTTTGACAGTTACAGCTTCCATTGTGCTTCTCGTGAACTCAAGTTAATTTGGTTTTTTAGGTCAAATTGGTAGAACATGAAAATCAACTAGTATACAAATACCAATGGAAAAATAAATTCTTAAGCATTTTATTTTACATCGACATTTTATCCATAATACTACCGTTTGGAGTATACATCACTAAAATTTGGCTTTATCATTTTGGAAGACTACTGAGAATGCATACAATTTTAAAAGTGTATCGTTTTCACTGCAAAAGTATGAAGGTAACGTTAAAATTTCATTAAATACACCTTGCAAAAGCGTACATTCATTTAATAACTCATTAATTAGCAGCATTACTAGGCGCTTTGTCGTCGAGTTGCGGATACCAGCCCGTTGCACCAAGTACCAAGTAAGTTGGAGAGATTTCATTCACGGCACCTCCTGGTATCCATGAAGTAATCACATAGTATAATAAGACAAGTACTGTAACCAGTGTTGCCATACGTCCGGAAATGTCCGGCAAGATAATAATAGGCCTTTGTCCGGAATGCGGAGGGAATCCTAAACTGTCCGGAATTTCTACAATTTAAAAGCATGATATAAAAACTAAATAAACCAAATATTTTATTTATTGCAAACTTAATTAACAATCAACATTACTTTTCATATTTAATATTCCCAGAAATATTGTCCAATACGAGAGGCGCTTCCCCGTTTTCACCCCTTCTCAGCCCGCGCTCGCTAACATACCCGCGTATGTCACAGACACAAAGTCCACGCGCGCACTCGTTCATTCACATGCACAATGCATAAAGACATTAATATTATATTTAGAAGAAAGTCAGGAATTTTCAAAAAATGTCCGGAATTTACTCCGGAATTTTTTTTTTTTTATCTGGGCACCACCAGCAACGCGGCTTATATTTGTGCACGCACGCCTTGCCCGTGTACGAACGCACACTTTCGCATAGTCTCGCGATGTACTCGAGTTGCGCAGCGTGGATCGTCGCACGCGCCGTTCATTGCAGAACCGAAGCGTGTTATGCATCCAGATATGCGAACAACTGTGACATCAGAACAACGCACTGGCATTCGTAGCAGAATCATGCGCCCCGTGTATTACGACGTGACCGCTGACAAAATTATTAATTTTACGTATTAATTATAAATTACTTTTCGGCCCAACGTTCCTAACATCAGATGTAGACTAAATTCCTTTAGTTAAGGTCTCTTTAATACAAACTTGACAGCAAACTTATAAAATCTAAAGATAAAGTAGCCCAAGCTTTTGAATCGTTCTTTTCGGAAATTGCTGTGAACACTACAAAATCATTAAATTCCTCCCCTTCACTTGCTATTGATCTCCTAAAGGAAAATGTTAACGTTTGTGGCAGTTTATTTAATTTTCGTCATGTTAATCCACAAGACATCATAAAAGCTTTTAAGTCAATACATGTTAAAAAAACTGAAGATCTCTGGGGCATATCAACTAAAGTTATAGACTCAGTTATTAATCTCATTTCCCCACAGTTAGCTGTAGCTTTCAATAGGTGCGTTGACGAAGGTGTTTTTCCCGATTTAATGAAATACAGCAAGGTTATTCCCTTATTCAAAAGCGGTAGGAAAGTTGATCCTAGCAATTATAGGCCCATTTCAATTTTACCAGCTTTAAGTAAAATATTCGAAAAGGTTATGCTAACTCAATTACTGTCCTATTTCGGTAGGAATCATATTTTTCATAGTGAACAATACGGGTTTACTAGTGGTAGATCGACTAGCGATGCGGGGGTAGCGTTACTAAAACACATCTTTGATGCTTGGGAAAGGTCCCAGAACGCTATTGGTGTTTTCTGTGACCTCTCAAAGGCATTTGATTGCGTTGACCATAATACTCTTATTAGTAAGCTGGAACATTACGGTGTAAATGGCAAGGCGTCGAAACTTGTCTCGTCATATCTCAACGGTAGAATTCAGAAAGTAGGCATAAATGGAGCGACTTCTTTGGGTTCTCCAGTAAAAATGGGTGTTCCGCAGGGCTCAATACTTGGACCTTTCTTATTTCTGATTTATATTAATGATCTGCCATTCTTTGTTAAGGACCATTGCGAAATAGTGTTGTTTGCTGATGACACATCCTTGATTTTTAAAACAGACAGACATGACATTAACTATGACCGTATTAATGATACCCTCTCTAAAGTAGTTTATTGGTTTAATGCTAACAATTTATTGCTTAATGCCAAGAAGACAAAATGTGTTAAATTTGAATTACCTAACGTAAAATCGACTAGTCCAAGCATAGAAATAAACGGAGAAAAGTTAGACCTTGTTAATAAAGCAGTCTTCTTGGGAGTGACCTTAGATAGTAAACTTCAGTGGTTTCCACATATATCGTCCCTGGCCAGCAGATTAAGCTCCGCTGCATACGCAGTCCGCAGAATACGTGAGCTTACCGATGTTAGTACTGCTAGACTAGTTTACTTTAGTTACTTCCATAGTATAATGTCCTACGGGATTCTCATGTGGGGTAAAGCGGCAGATATTCAAACCATATTTGTATTGCAAAAACGAGCGATTCGTTCTGTGTACCGTCTAGGCTCTCGGGTATCTCTCAGAGAAAAGTTTAAGAAGACTGGTATCATGACTGTGGCATCACAGTACATTTACTCAAATATTTTATATGCCCGTAAAAATATACATAATTTCAATAAGAAAGAAGATATCCATAATATTAACCTTAGAGCTAAGTCCAAACTCATGGTACCACGATTTCGTTTAACCAAGGTAAACAACTCTTTTATGGGGAACTGTATACGTTTTTACAATAAGATTCCGGAGCATATATTAAGTTTATCATTTCCTAAGTTTAAAAAGTACATTAAAAATATTTTGATCGAAAAAGCATATTACAAAATTGAAGACTACGTGTTAGATAAAGATGTATGGAAAGACGACATGGCTCCAGAATCCACACAAATTTGATTCAAAATGTATTCCATAGCATTTAAGTTTATTTGAAAAGAGCAATCCCTAGAGTTTCTTGCTCGTTCTTCTCAGGGAGGTCAGCGTAGTGAACGAGCAGTACCTTAAATGTGACGTTTTCAAGTGTAAATTTATTTTACCTATGGAATAAATCATCTTTGACTTTGACTTTGAAAAAGCACTTTTAGGCCCAACGTTCCTAACATCGGATATAGACTAAATAAATTCCTTTAGTTAAGATCTCTAGTATACAGCACATTTTGGCCCAACGCTCCTTACATCAGACGTACTTTAAATTCCTTTACTTAAGAAATCTATTGTGGAAGATTATTATAACAATTGTCTACAAATTTTCTCGTTTTTGTGGCCACCCTATATAAATAAGCGTTTGCTAGGTATTTAAAAAATGAAGAAAATCGGAATTGTTAGCATTTCATTTCTGTTTCTTTACTCGCATAATCGAGGTATCAATCCGCGATGCTAGTATAAAAATATTTACATGTTATAGTATTTGATAAAGGTTATTTCGATATAGCACGAGAATGTTGTGATGAATACCATATTTTTCTCAAATAATATTTACAACTATAACTGTATTAATAATTCTAACAAACTAGTGAAGTAATTTCACATAAAAATAATTGAATATTAATTCAATAAGAATTTGGGATATGGTCGCTGTAAAGGTATCTAACTAGGTGACGAAATAGCATAGATTTCTCATAGATGGCGCTACGGCTAAAAAATCGTTGAAAAACCAAATACAAAAATACGATGCAAGCACATAGAAAAAATCGTGAGGTCCGTTGGTTCGTTTCGTGGCTTAGTTGGTATAGCGTCTGGCACGGTATGCTAGAAGACGTTGGTTCGAATCCGGCCGGATCGAATGAACTTTTTCTGAGTTTTCGATCTTTATATTAATAATTATAACAAACTAGTGGAGTAATTTCACTTAAAAATAATTGAATATCAATTCAATAAAAATTTATATATTTACAACAACCAAAATAATAATGTCAAAACCCTACGCTTCGAGAGACGTGTGGGAATTGATGGAACATGCAGCAGTTACACTACTTGTGTTATTATTATACTATGGTGTTACTAAAGCGTTAGCTTTTGGAGTTCCATTACTCAACATCAGATGACACTATGTTCATAGTTCTTAACTGAATTTAGTTGAAGTTAATAATCCTATAATCGTCAGTGAGAGCTACTACTTTTTTGTTCTTTGGGACTTAACTACGGCTGTAAGTCTACGGCTACGTCCCACTTTCTCTACTTTTTTGTTCCATGGCAGTAGGTCAGATGATGGGAGCAATGATAAGAGTGTAACCTTCTTGGTGGGTAGATACGCCTCGTGTTTAAATCTATTCCTATATCCAAAGTACAGTAATCAGATCTTGAAAGTAAAATTTTGTGCTAATGGAACTTTTTTTTTCAGAACAAGTATCTGACTTTTATAGTAAAGACTACTTTGTTGATATTACTGATACATACATTGGCGTGCGGCTGGGTAATAGTGGTATGCAGAGGAGGTATAACATTATCCTTTCTATTGACAATGTACCCAAATCAGAATAAAACTTGTAATACATAAAAAATGTTCTTATTTTAAAGTTTCACTATATTTTGCAGTGCCATACTACAAAAAAATATCTGTCCCAGCAGAATTCTTAGTCGAATACGATCCAAAATGGTATAGACATGATGATACAGAACAGATTGGTAAGGTGAAATTTATAACGACCTCTGACAACGGAGACTTTAAAATATTCCAAAGTGTTTTTGAAATGAGATAATACTTAGAGTTCAAAGGTGCAAGGTATCGTTTAATATTTGTAGCCGTACCACATACATAGAGCTCGAAATTCAGCTTAAGAGCCAGCGCAAATCGGCGGACGGCAAGGCAGATGACATTATATTTATCAATATTTATTTTATGCTATTACAATTGAATGCCCACCACAATGGCCACCTTAAGGTTTGAAGACGTATTTTTCGGTCAGTTTGTACTGACTCTCGATTACGAGTCGACTGAAAACATACTTACACACACACACACACACACACACACACACACACATACACGTACGCACGTACGCACGCACGCACTTACGCACACACCCGCACACACACACCCACATACGCACACACGCACGCACACACATTTTTGCACTGGATAGCCTATGCTTTATTTTGTAATTTATTTGTATTTTTGTATTAAGTTTATGTCACGTTTTCTTACACTAAGAGGGAGTGAGCCTGGTGATCTGTAACACAGGTATCCAACCTAGTACAGACTCCAGCTCTCACTAAGGCACTTGATATTTGTTATTTTTATTTTTTTGTAATTAATAATTGTATTTTTAATGTATTCATACGCTGTAACTATAACCTTATTGAGAGAAATAAAGCATATTGTATTGTATTGACATAAAAATAGATCCTTTATTAATGTGCTCATGAAAGAGGTCATATTTTTCACCCTATAGGTAAATTTGCTCATGGCCAATTATATTATATATATATATTATTCAACACAAACATCTACACTAGTTTTCACCAAACATAGCCAAAAATTATCGCTTTCAAATCTATCTATCTATCTATATACTTCATTAAATAGACTTCTCAAGATTGTTTACATTTATTTAAGTACCTAAACAGATGGACTATAAACTAAGTAAAATTGCTTACTTGTATCTTAGGCATCCAAATCGGTGCTTATAGCATAATGTTAGTCAACATATTTTCAACACATTTTGTTCAATAACAATAAAACATGAATACTTAATCTATCGCTATCGGAATTCAAACTGCACTGAAATTAGATCATCCCTTACTACAAAGCAGAGTTACCTCAGATTTAAGTAGACAGATACACTATAGCCTCAAACTTATGTCATTCCCCTGTAGTTGTTAAAAACAACATTATGCCAGGTTCCAAAAATCATAAGGTAAAATTGGCCAATCGGGTGCAGGTAAATATGGCCAGTCACTGTTACAATATTATCAGATATATGCCTTATTTTTTCTTTCACTCTTTTGAAAACCAAACAAACATTGGAAGAAAATCACACGGAAATGTCATCTACTTTTACTACACCAGCAAAAAATGGCGAATGAAACACAATAAAATCGATATAAACAAAAATATTAGACAAAACTTGGTTTAAAAATAAATAGCGGAGATACGTCCTCCGACTTTGACACTTATGGGCGAAAGGCGTATGCGCGGGAGGGGTGGCGTGAGGGTAGTTGTTATGCGAACCCCGTAACCGAACATATACAAGCTTGTTCGATTTTGTACGCTACACTATTTTAGAAATATTGGTCTGTGACCATATTAATCGGCTGGCCATATTCGACCCAGGTACCTAAAGTATAAATTTCAATGCCTTGAGACGCAGGGAGAATTGCGCCGCGATGCTCCGAGATCAGCCTCAGAGCATTACAATTTATACCTTATGTCAATTCAAATAGCATAAAATATACTTTGATAAATGTAATGTCCTCTCCCTTTCCGTGCGATCCAATTTGTGCGGGCCTTAAAGCTCAATTTTCATTAACGCGGAACGGAAAGGAAGCCAATTTTTGGAACCATAGCGTATTGAACTTTGTGTCAATTATGTAACGTACAATACTCGATGCGTACAAACTAGATTCGAGCTAAAAAACATCGAGGCTCTTCTGGACATTTTTTTATGATGCCAAGTGATAAAAGGAACATGTCGCGCGCCTGATATTATGCGACACACCTGTCCATGGCTGTTGCAGTAACACTCCGAGCTTTAGGTCGCAACGATCTGATGGGCACTGCTACTGCGTACATCATTCTGAGACATAAGTTGATGATTGACTGTGATTCTTTTTGATTGAACTGCCTCCGCGACCGAACGGTTCACATGGTGGTGTGCCACGCAGAGGACCCGGGTTCGATTCTCAGGAAATATTTGTATGGTCTACATTTATTTGTCTCGTGAGTTTGAGTGTAATTTGTAGTTGTCGATGTGTGTTCATGGTACCCGCGATACAGGGTTTCCCTAGTGCGGGGCTGAGTGTGTGCGTTATTATTATTATTTCACCAGCACCCTTACCCTTCAAAACCGGAACGCAGTAACGAACACATTAGTGTTTGATGGCAGAAATAGGTAATATGGCAGTACTTCTCTGGACGAACTCTTTCATAAGGAGCTCTACTGCTACAGAATTCAGTTAAGTATCGTATCCGGTTTATACGTTACACAATTGACTCTATGCTCATTATGCTTTATATAATTTCGTTGAGAATTCGCTTCCATTCCGTACCGCAGTAATGTAAATTGAGTCTTTCTGGAGTATTAGCAATTTTAACATTTCTTGAGTTAAGTAAATTATTTTAAAAAGAAATTCAAATGTCATTATTTTCCGTTTTAGGCTGCATGCAAAGTACAATTCAATATGTTGATGCAAATAATAATACAATGACGGGGTTCATATTTGTTAAAACCTGGATTGCAGATTACACTCTTGCCATATATTTTGTTATTTGCACTTTGGTGTGGATTAATTCTGATATAGTAAGATTACTTTAATTTTTGGTTCCGTTTTGTTCCTTCAAAAATACACAAAAATACTTGGACGTCTAGCTGCCGTAACATGTCCGTTTAATAACACCCTTTTCAACATAATTTTATTTTTTTATGTTATTTCAGTTCTTACGTTTTTGCCATTGGTATACTTACAAAACACGTATATTTGTTTTTTAAACAAACCAACGTTTCAGGCCATTTACAAGTCCCATGGTCGCGGCAGACTCTGAGTCGGAAACGTTGGATTATGTAAAAAACATATACAACATTCATCATCCATATACACGTCCTAGTGCTGGTCACGGGTCTCCTTTCACGCGAAGGTTTTAAGACGTAAATTTCGTATATAAATTCCCAGAAACTCACGAGGTACGAGCCCGAACTCGAACTCACGGTCTCAGCTTGAGGAGCGGTGGGTCAGACCATTAGGCTAGCACGGCTTCATCTATTTCTCTCGTGAGTTTGGGTGAAATTTGTGGTTATTTATGTGTGTGACCAGTTATGGGGCTATGTTGAGTGTGTGCATTATTATAACAAAAAAACATAAAAAAATGTGATTATGAGATTCAAAGAACCCAAAAATTTGCCAATGATAATTTAGTTTCCGTAAATAAAAGCAACAGATGTCGACTATACAATTTGTCTTGTTTTACATGTATACTTGTCTTTATTTTGTTTAAGGTCCTGCCTATCACGATAGATGGCGTTATATATAAAATAATTGTCACTGCACTTTTACATGTTGTGCATCTGTATATAGGCGCTATCGCAATAAGTAACACCTATACCAAGTATAAAGAGAAACATAAGCACGATTATGAAGTGAACAGCCTGCTTACATACTTAAAAAATAATGGATTGTCGAATATTCTCTACAGCGCATCGAAAAAGATCCTAAGAAAATTATGGGGAATACAACAAGGTATTCTTTGTAGTACGGCGCAAATTAGCGTAGAAAGGGTTTTTTAGGGGTATTTTAAAGGGTTATTTTTTTATAAATGCAACTACAACGCGAAGTTACGACTCGGTTGTATGATTGATTGATTATGATTTAGGATATGCGATAAAACCGATTACCGTATGTAAGTATTCGGTTATTTTAGGTCAAAGCTTTCTGTTATGTACAATCCCGAACAATGTACGTGTACAGCACAGGCGATAACTCCATGTAGCACGATTCCTATCGACTCACCTTAGAAAGAAAGAAAATACATTCATACGACTACCGCAAATGACACTTCAAAAGAAAAACGAAACAAAACAGAAGAAAAGCAAAAATAAAGACATATAATCGAAACATTCAATCGTATGATCCAAAAATAATTAATTTACCGAACAAAATCACAAACAAAATAAAAAAATTACATTAATCAGATTATTTACATAAACAAGTACACACGCAAACAAGTATAAAATTGTAATTATTGATACAAAAACCGAACAAACACAAAGAAAAATTCCTTCGATCAGGTTCGATCAGAACCAGCCCCTGTTTGCCAAACTTGAGCTAACAAGTTTTCTAACTGAGCTACGGAACGAATCAGCAGACCTCACTAACTTTTTTATGTGCTTGTTGCCGATCTTTGTTTTTGAATTAAACAGCTTTTTTGCTGTAGCGCCATCTGTGAGTATGGTTTTTCCTTTTTATAATATCAAGTGACGGGACGAACAAGTCGTGCGTCTGACAGACGGACGGAGTTTAACACAAATGTAACGCCTGATAATACCATACCATAATTTGCTTGATGAGTTCCTTGGCATACCTTTAGCCGCTTACGCGATGCGCTCATCCTACCGCAAAATGGCGGCTATTTAAATACAAGTTTTTATAAATAAAAAATATTATTCTGCATTGCTTAATAAATACCCTCCGTACTACAACAAAAACATCTCAAATAAAATGCAGTAAGTAATACACCGTAAATCCTGCACTTAAAAAGCACTAATGAAATTTTTGGTGTACTTGGATAAATATGATAATATTCCGTTTAAGTGGTTCCAACGTTTACCATGAAATTACTCCTTAATGTATAGTTTATAAACATTTATATTCAGGGTAAACTTAAAAAACGCTACTTACGGTATGTTTTCAATAAATAAACACGGAAATCACCAGCCCAAACAATAACAGACACGATTGTCGTGACGTATTTTTGAAGAACAACTTCAAAAGTACGTCACGACAATCGTGTCTGTCGTGTATTTTTTTTAAATGACAGACATTAAAAACTTTATGGTTTGCTAGAGTAGTTACCGAAATAGCAATTAATATTACTTCTTTTACCTCTTAGAACTTCGATATCCGATAAATGGGTATAAAATCATCACTGGCACCTCTATGTGGTATGCGTCTACGGCCGCATGTATCGCGTGAGCGGTTAGTTAAGCACTATATAATAAACATCTGTCTTTTTCATTCCCATGAAAACCCAAGCAGTTTTAATTAAGCGAACTTACATTCCTGGAGAACTAGGCACAAATTGAGTCATGAGTTGCAAGTAAGACAAATGTCTTGTCTGCATGGTAATGAGTTGTAATAATGCTCCAAGTTAGGAAACTTATACGGCAAGTATTAAGTTCTACACCATATATAACGTTTTTCGATGAAAATAGAAATGGCTGGCAATTGACCATGCCTGGTAGTGTGTAGGGAATTTGTATCAGTGTTTGGTTTTCAGTAGTTTTATCAAAATTATTAATAAAGGACGCACATAAAAATGAAATGTAAATAAAATAAGTAAAATACATAAATTACGAACAATTATAGAAAACACACAAAAAACACAATGATAATAGAAAACAAGGAAGAATAAAATTTAAAAAGTAATCAAATTAAATATTCCAAAACAAAACATATTCAATAATTCACATAACAACACATTTCGAACTGCAGTATCAATATAAGTTACTAATAATAGACAAACACAACATTTGCCATGAACTATCTAAATATATAATAATATAATGTGCTTATAAAATTTGTATACTCTACTTTTTCTTAATATTTTGAATGGACTTAGTAACTATCCTAAATATTCTGTATTTTCCATAGGATCTAAGTTGCCTAAGTTAACGGAATTTGCTCCTCTGTGTCTGCGCGAAGATTTAATGGAGTCTCTATATATACATCACTTGCTCACACCGCCGCTGTTCCAGACATTTCCACAGTATTTCTTGCGACAACTAGCCACGAAACTCAATAGAATTGTCATGTTCCCTGGTGAGTTGAACATTTATTTATATATCATTCAAATATTTTAAATAAGTAGTGTATCAAAGCAATATTACCTGATGAAGGTGAACCGTAAAGATGTTCTAAGTCAGTTACCTCCGACCGAGTTTGAATTTTTCTTGACATATAAATGGTTGGATTTGTAAAAACCCTGAAAGTGTGTTAAGATACTTTATGTCGACGAAGTACTTATAATATACAGCACATTCGACTAATATTTTATACATTTCCTTATAAGAAGTATTCTCAATAAAGGTATAAATAGTACAAAGGTCTATAACAAAAACACGTAGGAGAATTTGTCGGTTCGGTAACTGGACCCGTAGCTCAGTTGGTAAGAGCAATGCCACGGTGTCGGGTCGACGAGATTTTTCGGTGTGTTCGATCTTTGTATTAATATTCGTAACAAGGGCATTGTCATTAAAATTTATAAAAAAGGGCGAAAGCATAATAGTTTTCTATTTCTATTTATTTTTAATTATTAATAAATAAGTGCACATTTGACCTCCATCTCATCTGATGGAAAGTGACGATGAGGTCGACGACAGAGCAGGTACACCTAAATAATGTCTATTCACTCTTGCCTTGAAAAGGCCCAAGCTATGCCGTTCAGGGAACAAGTCTGTAGCCAGAGATATCCATTCCATAGTCGTTCAATGAGGATCTTACACCTATACGTAGTCTATTTTACGTACACAATTAAGAAATACAAAATTTTAATTCGCACAAAAAAGGGTTAGGTAATTTATTGATAAAATAGTATTATATAATAGTAATACAATATATAACAGTATTTGTCGAGAATTGTTTACATTATATTAAATCTTAAAAGAAAACTCAAACATCTGAAATTATACTATAAATTTGACTACAAATAAATTCTCTAAACATCTCGCAAATTACTGGACTAATACGTGTTTTCAAAAGAATCTTTTTTTTTCTTTTTTTTCAGGAAAGAGTATTGTTCAAGTGGGCGATATTTATCCGTGCATTTTTTTCATACACGAGGGAGAGGTTGAGCGATGGAATACAGACGAACAGTAATTACTTAATTATTTAATGCGAATTAGGTGTCTGTTAATATTAATTGATATATCAGGTGGAAGAATTAACACTTATGTATACTGCTATTCTACAGAGTCATATTCGTGAGATCATCAGATAAATATATCATGCCTGGATCGATTTGCTCACAGCACTCAATATAACTAAGTATTGAATGTTCTTACAGCACGTCTTGCAATCCACAACATCTCATAAAGCGTAAAAATTTATTAAAATATAGATTCTTGTTCAAACTAATCGACGGTATTATCATAGTAACCAAGAACGTGTCGATTAACGACTAGATAAGCTAATTGTACAAAGTGTTCGCAATATTCCTTAATTGAAGAGGAAATTGATTTAAGTTTAAGTTTAAAAGACAATGTTCCGTGTGGTATTAATAAAATTAATAATTAAAACTTTTTATAAAAATTAAACTGACTTCAAAACTTTGTGGGATCTGTTTGCCAAGTATAGAAATCCGTTAACGATGTGGGTAAATTCCAATAAACCAGATTGACCGGATTAGAGGTGGAAAAATTTTTTTTCAAATTTGAATGGGTGCTTAGTGCCCTACGGGTCCAGTATAATAATGTGTTTAGAATATTGATGGGGCTGCCTAGTTTCTGCAGTGCATATACCATGTTTGCCGAGGCGTGGGTAGAGGTTTTTGATCATCCTCAAAAAACAGCCTCACTGCTCAGCAGACTGCAGGTCAGCACCAACAGTATCCTACAGGTCGTACCTGACAGATATGACCTGCCTATAATGAAGTATTTCATTCGGATCCCGACCAAATAGTCTCATATGAGTCTATTTGATCGAAATGCGAGTGAAATACAATTTTACCTGTACTTTTATTTTATTATCTTTGTCATTAAAGTATTTTTAAGTTAGTTTGTAAGATTCTAACACTATTGGACCATACCTTGTTGTTGTCTAAATAAATAATTATATTATTTTTACTATTATTTATATGGCAATTAATGACTTCTTGCTTAAGCCGACGGCTTAATAAGAACACTGTATATTTTAATCACTTTGAAATCGAATGACAACTTGTATTTTCTAAATTTAATGATCAAAATGGCGTGTCCGATCGTGCCCGCCAACTATGTCACGACTGTTGTAGCGCGGGTGACGTAGTTGTGCGGACTACACCGCTAGGTGGCGCGGTTGCGTTTCGTTTTCATTACTGTCTCCGACAAATAAATGTATTTTCCATTTGATTGCAGAAGCGGAGATTGTCGAATGACGGCCCTGTTGACTGCAAATAGTTACTTCGGCCTCATCCCTGGACTCTTTCCCAATACACCACATCAGTTTGCTTACTATTCGAGAACGGTAATTAAAATTATTACTATGTATAAAAAGTAATAACGGTAGAACGAATTTGGAAAAATTTTAGAAGCTCTATTAATTTTGAAACTATACGTTAGAGATAATAGGGCACACTTTTGGAGATAATGTCAAGAAGTGTAAAGCCATTCTTAAGAGACACTATCTAGGTGGGGCGTCACTTTTGAATGGCACGTAACATAGATATACAGTGTAATTTTTTAAGTACCTAGCTTGTCAACTCTTCACTAGGCCGTTAAACCATAAGGTTTCTTACCGAGTGAAAAGAATAATGTTAATATTTTTCTTTTTGTTATGAATAAACTAAAAAAAAAAAAAAAAGATGAGCACATCAAGCTTGACACTTTGTACTTGAGACCGTTCTTCCATTCTTCTCGTAAGCAGCACAGAGTTCGATCTAAGTCTTAAGTGTAAAGCTTGACGTGCTGTTGACCTTGTACATGCAGCGGTGACGGCCACGTGTATAACTGCATATCGAGGAAAACGCGGTTCAACACACTTCTTCATAAGTTCTCATACACCCAACAAGGTTTGATTTGGCTGTTCCATGTGATTGAGATTAAATAAGAGTCATAAAATTCTACGCATATGTAACTTGTTTCATATAGTTGGCATTATTTTTAAGATTACCGTGTGATAAAAACATGTAGCTTTACCAACGGTAGCACACATTAGAATCAATGACTACATCGCACTATGACTGCTTGAAAACGCCTCTCAGCTTCGTCAGTATGCCTAAGGCAGGCGCAAATACTGAATTATTGGTACACACACCCAAGGACACACACAGTTATTACACCACAGGCTCTATTTTTGTGCTATAAAGAAAGTCAAATTAAAGAAATTTCGATATAATATGGCGGATAGCGACCGCAAACACATTAGCAGCCCAGAATAGGCGACTTATGTCGAATTTCAGCTCTCGACTTGTCAAGTTGCGTATGAAGATTGAGATGTCGCACGCGAAGTCGAATAATAACGAAGCAGATATGGAACCTTAGTATCATCGAATATACATAGGGTGCACTATAAATTTCTGGAACTGGCCACTTACTACAATATTTAAAAAGTATTTAAAACATTTGAAAATGGAACTCTGACTGTACAATACAGTTTGTTTCAGCTGTCACTTGTTTTTATATTGTGACGTCATTTTCACATCTCTTCTACATCACCATGGATTTAACTCGTGAAAATTTTCGTAGTATGATTTTCTACGACTTTAAATGTAATTTAACGCTCAGAGGAGCTTTGCTCGGCTTCAAACCGCTTTTGGCTATGAAGCACCATGCAAGACGACTATTTATAGCTGGTTTGCAGAATTCAAACGCGGTCATGTGAATTTCAGTGATGAATTTCGTGATAGTCGCCCGTCGCAACACAAAGGAACAATCGAGCGTATGGGTCTTTGGAGATGAGCCGAAACCAACCAAAGTGGCGCGCGTGCAAAGTGCCTCTAAGCGCATGATTGCTTCTTTTGTTAATAAAACTGGACACGTGGCTACTGTTGCTTTGGAAAATCGTTGTACCGTGAATAGTGATTGGTACACGACCATTTTTTGAACGTGAACAACGTTGACGTTGACTCATCCCGCGTGGTCCCGACCTGGCACCTTGTGACTTTTATTTATTTCCAAAAATTAAGAACCAGTTACGCGGTCAACGATTTTCATCACTTGAAGAAGATGTCGAAGAAAAATTTGTTTCAGATATTGTCACGGAGGAGTGGCATAAATGTTTTGAAAATTGGTTCATTCCTATGAAAAAGTGCATTAACTCTAACGGAGAATATTTTGAGAAACAATAAATTCATTTTAAATCTTTATTGCATTGATATTCAATTATTTTTTGTGAAATTACTCCACTAGTTTTCTATTATTATTAATACAAAGATCGAACACTCAGAAAAATTCCTTCGGTCCGGCCGGATTCGAAGGATTTTTTCTGAGTGTTCGATCTTTGTATTAATAATTATAATAAATTCATTTCTGACCATTTGTAGTATTTTTTTCTTATTAATTCCAGAAATTTACAGTACGCCTCACGTATAACCAGAAATAGAGACGAAATGTCATTTACTTTGTTTAAAAACTGTTCTGGGTGACAACTGCGCTTCGATTGGCCAACCCGAATTCGAAACAACTGACGGTGGTCGTCAATTGTTTCATTTCAAATCGACCAGTTTAACTTGAGCTTTGCTTTAATGGCGAAAATTGAAAAATTACATAGGTATTTAATGTTTAATTACCGATGAAATGTGATTCCATTTGTTTTGTAATTAGATGTTTTGCTGTTTTTCCCACACCACCGAATGGAACAGCCCCCACCCCAAGGTACAGATATTATCTTTATTACAATAAATACAGAATATTTTTGGAATATACGGAGGCCGACACACAGGTCAGTTGTTGGAGCTGTACAATTTCAGCTTTCTAATTTGTGATTTCAGTGCAAACGAGAGTTGATATTTAAAAGTGGTATAAGGCCCATTTGCGTGGTGAGTTGCCAGGCATGGATGGCCCTTATTTCCTCTCTATTTCTGGTTAAATACTCGATGCATATTTTCCTTGGACATCGCGAAATGTTAACATAATTGGCCAAATCGTAAAGCAATTATTTTATCAATGAAATACGGCAATTGTGCATTTTGTTATATACAGTCATTGACTTACAAATAAATGGACGACGGATCTAATACAAAAACCACGAAAAAAATGTCCCAAGTCAACCTATTCGAAATTTAAATTGTAATGTCATCGCAGTATCGCGCTGTTAGTAGAACAAATGAAGACTAAAGCGGAGTGTCGCGCTCTGTATACGATTTTAGCGCCTTACAAGTGCGGACACTTTTTAGCGCGGACCCGACGTCCATATAATTGTAAGTCAATGTATACAGTTAATTCATTCAAAATAAACTTGACAGCTCAGATATAAGTGTAAAACAATTACATCGTCCTGTGAATTTAATACAATCGATAAAAACGGAACATGAATGAATAAATATTTTATAACATTTTGAGATAGGGTTTCCAATGTCCACTGAATTTTTACTTAATAATTCGATTTTCTTGACATTTTTTGTAGACTTTGAGGATACGACATTGTTTCGAAATCGAGAAATGAAGTTTAGAACCTCCGCAAGAAAAACTAAAATTGTACATCATTTTGTGTCGCCACTAGCCATCAAAACTATTTTAAAACAGTGGTTATATATTTAAATTTCAGTTTTAAATTAGATATTCAAATCAATTATTCCATACTGTTAAAATATAAATACATAAAAATTTAAAAATTAAATACAATTAATAAATTAAAACGTAATCTAACTAATAAAATAAAGTGATTAAAACGTACACTGAATGATTACAACAATAATAAATAATAAAATTTTAATTTAGATTCAAATAGAGATAAATTAATAATAGAATTAAAAATTTCAAACTAAAAGAAATTCTTTTAAATATATACTTAAGTATCTGCTACAAACGTCATTATCTAAAAACCATAACTATTGCTAATTTAATCCATTTTCTAGATGGTGGATTTGGTTTATTTACAATTCCACGCCTGGCAAGATTTATTAAGTGGCTACCCTGAACTCAAGTTTCAGCTCTATCGAGATGCTTTGCACCTGAAAGGGGTAAATTGAAATGAGGAAACCATGAAGGCGTCATCAACCCTAAAACATTTATTCCCTTTGTCAATTGTTATTATTTGACTTTTTTTTCTAGTTATTTAGTTTGTAAAATAATTTAATGCGAATCCTGATGGTATTGTTTATAATTTAGATTCATAATTTTATAGAGCATTAATTCCGATTCTTTAATAGGCGTTTGTGAATATTACAATTATATTATTATAACTATAATAGATGTTAGTATCAATAGAAATTCTTTCGTAGTTAAAAGATGTTAATTTATACCATTTCGAGCTGTGAAATGTAGTCTAAAAATGACACAATGTAGGCTTTGGGACCCTAATTCCCATTTAATAGTTTATTATGAAATGAAATAAAATTATTTTAAACTAATTTGTCGTTATTTGCTTTTGTCAAATCTTTATATACTTGATTTTAATGACTGTTGAAAGTACTGTAAACTATATAAATCAAAACCCTATATAAACCAATTCATCATAACACGTTGTAATCACAAAGCTTTAACACAAATATTTACGACTTATTTTCTTTCTTGATGTATAGATATTACTAAAAAATGGAATAAAATTGCTATTATTGTTCCTCAAGTAAAGTAAATATAAAGTGTTGGGGCCTAGGAATCATTATGTTACTTTTACAACAATAGATGGCGTAACTGTATCTGCAACCTTTGATTGATATACGTATTTTTGTTTTGTGCTGCATTACATGCGATCACATAGAATATACCTATAATATGTTTTGTTTTTGTGTTGCTGTCTGCTTGTATTTTTTTTATGACACCAAGTGACGGGACAAACAAGTCATACATAAGCGACACGCCCACCTGTCCATAACAGTTGCAGTGGCGGTTTGAGCTTTGTATCGCAAATTGAGGAGCACTGCACTACACCTGTCACCCTGAGACATAAGTTGGTAACAATTAATGGACCAGTTTTATTATTAGTTAACAATAATTTTAAAAGATCAGAATTAACGAGCGTGTATTAAGGTACTTTCCTACCAGGGAGGCGAGAGGAGACGAGACGAAGCGAGGATTGAAATTTGTATGTGAAAATTTTAATTCTATAGCGTATTTTCGACAGATATGGTCTGGATGACGAGGTTATGCGAGACAAGAATTAAATATTTGTTAATGTAATATTGAATCGTACTGCTACCTTTATAGAGCTAATTTAATGCTCGTGAATCTTGCCGGTGAAAGGCTCTTTTAGGCTGCTAACTGACGAACTGCAGGTTTGTAATACGAACTGCTACAACTGCAGTCGCAGAACAATAAATACAGTGTTTATTTTTCTTCCGTGGTTGCAGTCGTCATGAACCATAGTTGAGAATCAAATGACATTCTTAAGAGGATGCTTATACTTATTATATTATTTTTTTTGTGCCTGAAACGACTTTTTTTCATTAATAGCAAAAGTTAACGTAGTCGGTATCATAATTACTAGTATCTTCAACGATTACTTCAGAGTTTAATCAACACAATGGTACAATAAAGACAAGATTGGTGAAACTTTTCTCGACGGATTTCTTTCACATTTACACAATTCTCGAAATGTTTTTTTTTTTGTAATGACACCTTTATTTACATTTTTAATCTCAAATTCCACCGCAGATTATTAGCTATAGTCGGAATTATGGACGTGAGTTTGTCGACAATATAAAATCGAAGGTTTCGGGAGTAATGTGTTTATTTTTAATAAAGAGCAAAGTCAGCATTTGGAATCATAAATGTACAGTGACAAACTACAAGTAATATCTGTGCTTTCATTTTGACATCAACGATACGGAGCTCCTGAGCTAGACGCGCGGCGATAATTGCTTACAGTCAGTGTCGACTACATGAGGTTGTACATCGACTCCGCGGACGCAGTCCATCTGGTAGCCGCCTTGCAAAGTTAGTAGCGGTTCGTTCGTTCAAAAGTGTATTAGTTTCACCTTCCGAGTGTCTCATTTATTTACGACTGTAATTTTAAATTATTTTAAAACATTCATATTCCATCCTTTTTACCCTGCTGCAGCTGTACTACTGTTCGTATTTGGGATAGTCTACAATTAAACGTCGCGTAAAAGGCGCGTCCTATCGTGCAAACGCTTCCGGAATCTCCTATTCATTAACTATTAGAAATAGTAGTCGAATCTTGGTTTACATTTGCGAATCGCAGTAATTAGCCTTGTTCTACAAATGTTATTGTCTGCTTACGTTACCATCGACTGCGTATCTACTCGAAATTATTAACGAAATCCGTTACGTGCGTACCGTGTTTAACTTTTGAACTGCAATCTCATGGGATGAGAAACTCTCACCGACTAATTCAAATAACTTTAAACGTTTATAATATTTCAAAATTCACTTTAAGAAAAATTAAGAACACGAACTAAAATATTTCTTCTTTTTTTTCTTAATCTCATAATTTAAATTTGTCTCGCTATAAAATTTTGTCGATCTATCTCGTCAACAAGTGTATTTTATTCGACGGAACTATGACATCAGTCTAAGTTATGGAATTTCGACCATTTGGAGATAACGACTTCAATTGCTCAGGAAGTACACGGTGGGCGCTAAATAAGGAGGTCCCGTATCCGATCCCCGTAAAACTATTCGGACAATGATTTTTTTCTAAATACGTATAGTAGGCTAATATTCACTTAAAATAAATTCAAATTAAAATCTCGACTACTGGAACAAACTTAACCAAGGCTTGAATATTCAATTGAATTGTAGATATTGTGGCAAGTAGGAGCGAAGATCAAACGCTACATTCTGCTTCATGTCGAAGTTCTCCGACTAAGGAAGGATCTTTAATATCGTAAATGCGTTGCCGACCATGAAAGATAAGATGAATGTCTGTGAATGGCGTGTTTTTTTACAGATCTAACGTATCTGCTGAATAATAAAGATTACACAAGACTGTATGCAATATACACAGATTTACATGTAGGTACGTAAAGTTACAAAATGTTACATTTGATATAAATTCGTGTCATCCTGAAGAATATTCCGGCGATTCTATGGTTTACAAAATTTTAAATCTTAGGGCGCATTCAAGTTAAACGCATGTAGAAGCGCTGCAGTGTAGCGCGGCAGCCGCGCGTCTGTCGCGCTTCAGTAATTTTTAGTTCACTAATTGTGACTGCAAAAATGGCGCGCGCGTGATATGATGATAGTGCTGCAACTGCGCTTCTAAAAATTATATGAAAATTAGTAGTGGCGCGGTTACAGCGCCACAGGGGTGCCACAGCAGCGCTTCCATAAGCTTCTAATTTGAAGGCTCCCTTAGCCAGTGATTGCTCTGACTAACAGCAAGGTTACTATACTATAGAAATATGTAGGGCGGTGGTTGGTACCTTCCCTTCTAGCTAGATGGGATCAGCACAAGCAGAGAGCCGTAACATAAGTCTACAAATAACAGTACAACGAAATTTGTAAGGAAATATTTTTGTGAAACTGACACAATAAATAAAAGAGAGTTTATAAAACGGTCACGGATGACTGTTCTATTTTATCAGTATTATTTCGTTTCCCTAAAATTACATATTTTAAAATTTAAACTCTGGTTAATTTAGTTTTGTACTCGGATATTTTTGTTTGTTGCGTCCTTTTTGTGACTCACATTGCAATCAAAATTTGTTACTTGATTTTTTGTTCTTAATGAAAATCGATTGTTCAATGACACACTGGTGACGTCACAATAATAAATTCATGGCGATAATTAACTTCCTAGATCCATTCAAGTGTTTAGGTGGTAGGTAATAAATACTACATGAGCAAATGCAATACACTAACCTAATAAATAACACCACATGTGAAATTTCTTGACTTTGTCGTAGACATATGTAACACAGACAAATGAAATTGACAAAAGTGTTTTATAATTATGAAAAAGATATCTTTGCGATAATAAGACTGCTGTAAATTTGATTGTAGATACATTCCTAGTTACTTGTGGAAAGAATGGACGTATTAGTAAATTTCCCGCTGGACAAATCTTACTACTAAGCAAGCCATTGGTAGTGTGATAGGTATTTATTTTATCAAAAATGAATTATAGGTGGTTTAATTTAAATTTTTGCTCTGAATAATCAACGTACGAATTATCATTCGTTCTTCGTGACCACTAGATGCGCTGTACAATTTTTCATACAATTTTGTTTTTAATGCGATCGCCAATACTATCAACATCGCAGACATAGTAAACGAATTAAAACAAGGAATTTATTCATAGGAAATGAAACTATTTTTTCGGATGTAAATCGCGTATGTTTGTTTTTACAAATAAACCAACGAACGTTTCGGGCCCTTTATAGGTCTTGTGGTCACAACTAACTAACTACCTACTAACTGATCTATCTAACTAACTGTTCTATATCGTCAGTTTTTCTAAAATTACATATTTTAAGATTTAAATTCTAATTATTCTTATACGTATTATTTCTATACGTAACAATCGCGAAAACATTAGATCTCGATAGGAATTTATACTTATCCATGTGCACAAATATAGTTTTGCAATATGCATTATAAAAACAAAAGAACTAAGAAATTAAAATTGTTTATTAAAATAATTAAAAAGTATTTGAATTAATTCTATGGAAGGGAAGACTAGACTACTTTATAAATTGTTTTAAGTTTAATAGCAGCATGGTAGAGGTTGTTCTTGACGTCCGGGAAGCCATTCAACAAGTCTTGCCAGGAGTCGAAGTTTAGATACACCAAATCACAAACCTGAGCATAAAACATTATACAGACTAAAACTCCAGTAACTGCGTTTATCTACTCTATACTATTTTCCAAGCTTACTTGAATATTGAATAACTGCGAAATAAAATACAATTTCATAAGTTGGAAATTAAGGCTCAATTTACGTTGTCGCCGAATGGAATGGAAGCGAATTTTTATAACGAATTAGAACATAGCAATTGTGCTATTATGTTATTATATTAAGTTCATTAGCACTTTGTATCAATTATGTAAGGTACAGACTAGATACGAGTCACGGGAAAAATTACACATTTTTATAAGCGATGCAGCGGCGCGACAGTGGCGCGACATCCGCGCGTCTGCAGCGCTTCAGTAATGTTTAAATCACTTAATTGCAACTGCAAAAGTGAT